GGCCCCCCGGGCACTGCTGGACACCAGCCCTGCGTGTTCCCGAGGTGGGCAGCAGGCCCCCCCCCCAGGGGTTCCAGAAGTGGGAAGCTTGTCCGCTGTGCAGCCCAGGCCAAGCCCCCAAGGAAAGGGAGGTCATGGGGACCCTTTGCTTGAACGGCAAGGCGCTGGGCGGGGGCGGGTAGGAAGCCCCTTTCAGCCCAAAGTACTCGGAGGCAATGTCACCAGAGTAATCGCTTCCAGCTATATTTATTTGTTCCCACAATTACTGGCTTTCAAAAATTTTTTTGGCAGCTGAGCACTTTGAAAATATTTTTAAATAGATTTTTTTCGTTTTAAGCAGTTTTATTGACATGTAATTCACACCCCAAACAATTCGCCCATTTAACGTTGTGCAAGCCACTGGGCTCCATAAAGAACGCACGTCTGTGTGTCAGACACACAGGCCAAAGAAGGGCCCGGGCCCCCGTCTCGCGCTGGCAGAGCTCCCCACCCACCTGCAGCTGCGGGACTGGCCCCCGGAACGGCCCAGCCGTGGCCCCCAGAGGGGGGCCACCTGGTGCCCTGGCGGCCCCAGAACCACAACCCGGGGGTGTTTGGGCCACAGGCTGTTTTGGCAAAAGAAGAGCCTCTCTTTAGAAACGCCCAGATTTCTCTGAGGACCGTTTGTTCTAGTTGGACAGCTGTGAGAAACTGAGGCAAATTCCTGTTGCCTCAAGGCCGAAGGGGAGAAACTTCAAACAGACGGTCAGTGTGGGACCGAGTTCTGCAAGGGGCCGGTGCATGCACAGCGCACAGCGTTTGCAGAAGAATGTGGCACCTGAGTAAGAGCGTGAGGGTGGGGACCAGCCTGGCTAGCGCCCCATGTGGCCTCATCCGCAGGAATCAGTTGTCACAGTCGGGGCCACAAATCCAGGTGGCTCCATCGGCACTCAGGCACAAGGGGACCAACCAGCCTCCCTGGGATGGCCTCGTGGGGTCGGGGAAAGGGCACAACCACAGTGCAGGAGCCCCAGGACCCCGTAGCCCTGGGCCGCGCTGGGGCCTTCTAGAGGCGGGAACACTGTCCCTTCTCCCTCGGGGGCAGGTGACACTGGGACCCCGCTCTGACGCCGGCAGCGTGGCCTCCTTCTGCCTTTGTGGAAAGGGGGCAGGACGTGCCAAGAAATGGCCTGACGTTGGCGCTGTGTGCGCCGTGTTTGCGCTCATGCAGCGTCTCCCACAGCCCGCGCTCCCCGGCGCGAAGGGGACGAGAGGCAGCAGAAAGAGGTTCGTTCAAAAAGCCGCCACCTGGAATCAGACCCGGACCTGCAGTGTGAGTGCGTGAGGGACACCTCGCTTTGTGGCCCCCGAAGCCACGACCTTTGCTGAGCAGTGAGATCATGGTCCCTGAAGACCGTTCCTACCAGTGGGACCCAGCGCTTCCCGCAGGAATGGCTGGCTCCAGGCCCGGGCCAGGAGGCGGGTGGGACCAGCCTGCATCCCAGCCAGCGCCGGGGGCACCAGGATTCTGGAATGAAGCAGTGACGCCCGGTAAATGGGCAGCATGGTAGCGGGACCGGAAGTGAAAGCCACAACGTATAAAAAATGTTTTTCTTTTCCAGTGATAAGCACCCAGATGTGGGACTTGGATAAATGTTTCATTTGCAGTGGCAAGAAAAACCAGCAAATCAACATAAATACATCGGGAGGCACAGGACCCACACTGTGACAGCAGCCAGGGTGTGTAGGAGCTTCAGGGTGACAGTCTGATCAAAGAGGATGGACGCAGCACTTCCCGTGGGATGGCATCGTTGTGACAAAGTCCCTCCCTCCAAATTCTTACCAACGCCCCTCCCCCGGTCTCCTCTCCTGGTGTCCCCTGAGTTCTGCCCTCTCCACTGGGCACGTCTCCGCTCTCGCCTCTGCCCATGTCCCCCACCTGGAGTCCCCTCCCCTCTCTGTCTGGAAGGGCACTGCTGCGTGTCTCCTCCTGTCGGTCTGTCCCCTGGCTGGGCCGCAGTGAGGGTTCTGCGGGCGGGGACAGTGTGGCCCTCTGGCCAACACAGCTGTGGCTGCATCCTAGCGCGGGGCCTCGGGTGAGGCTCAGGCCCTCCCTCTGTCCAGTGGCTGACAGCGATGACCTGTGGGGACACCATGGGGTAGAGCGTGTTGGGTGCTGGGATAGGGGCTCCTTGGTGACGACAGGATAAAATCCTGGTCACAGCCTCGCTGGGCAAAGGCTCTGTGCATTTTTACCAGAGGCCCCCAGAGGTGGTGCCGATCAGGACAGCAGTGACCGTGAGGGAGGGACGCCTGGGCTCTGCACCTGCCACTTCACATGCGGCCCGTTTGGGATTTATTCTGGTTGGTGGGCTGAGGGGAATCCGCATACCCCTTCCCAGAGCCAGCCAGCTGCGTGGGCTGGCTGCTGCCGCCGCCCTCTGTCCCCTCCCTCGGAAGTCCCTGCCCCCGCCCTCCCCAGGGCCATCCTGCGCCAACACTAAGGAGCTTCAGAGACAGTGGCTTTCTATGCCTTCCAGTGGGGGCCCCGTGAGCCTTCGTAGCATTGCCTAGAATGTTCCGGCTATTACTGTAGGCTTCTAGAATTGAGTTGTTAGTTACAGATTCTCTTCTGGGGATTATATTAAACTTCGAGAGTGTTTTATGCAGAAATCTGGTCAGGTCCTTTCCCCAGGATAGGGGTGGGCTGTCCACTGCTGTACGGTGCTGGAGTGAGGGCTCCATGCTTCAGCCTTGGGGCGAGGGCTCTGACTGGGTGGCCGAGCCCTCCTCCCACCCCGTGTTGATATAGCCACTCCTCCTCCTAACCAGGCCACGTGTGAGGCAGCCCCTTGTATTTCCTTCAGAGATGTGTCTGCCTCCAAGGCAGACCCAGCCTGGGCCCAGGCTGCAGCCCACCGCTCCCATGGATTTATAGAAATATAGCCATATAGACACCCACCACCTTCTCCCTGTCCCCCCACACGGAGTAATGCTTTCTCAGCAACCCCTGCAGCCAGAGGTGACCATGTGACTGAATTCTGGCCAACAAGGTGGAAGGGGAGGTTTGCTAGGGGCTTCAAGAAGGCTTTTGCCTCTTTACCATGGCTGGCCCTGTCCCAAATGTTGATGCGATGTCTGGAGCTTGGCAGCCATCTGTGACCATGAGGTTATATATGCCAGGAGAGGGAGAGATGTCGACATCCTCAATGTAGTGGGGCTGAGTCTGCCAGAAGCAGCAGCCTCCCCTCTCCAGACTTTAGATTGGTTGGGGAAACCCACCGCTGTTTTCTGACTGAGGGGGGGGAGTTCCATGGCACTCTTACGCTGACGTGCAAACATGTGTCACAGCCCCAGCGATTCCTGACTCCTTTTCCAGCCACCGGCTGGCGTCTGCACTTGGGTGTCTCAGGACATTTCATGTGCACCACATCTGCTCCCCCACGTTCCAAACCTGTCCCCACCCCACCGCTTTCTCTCTCCCCCATGCCGCCTCGAACTGGGCAGTCTGCAGCAGGGGAGGGAATGAGTGCTTGGCTTCATTCATTCACTCAGCAAATGTGACCTGAGGATCTGGCACGGCCAGTAGCTCTTCCAGGAACTGAGGGGCTTACACACCAGTGGCCAGCACAGACTACAAACGGACAGGCGCCTGTGTGGCTGCCTCAGGTGGCGGTGAGGCCAAGGGCGAAACGACTCGGGGTGGTGAGCACCCCTGCAGGGAGTCGGAGAGGTCACTGGGGAAGGTGGGGGCCGAACACAGCCCAGAGGAGCTGGGGCTGAGGCGCGGTGCAGCCTGAAAGAGCACGACCCCAAATCCTCAGGGAGCAGAAAGTCCCCGAGGTCAGATGTTTGAGGAAGAGGCGGAAGGGGAGCTGCTGGAGAGAGGAGGGGAGAGGCCGAGAGGGCTGGGACAGTTGCCTTTGTGAATTAAGGGTGTGGGTTTGAGCATGCTGGGCTTGTGAATCAAAGGGTCGTTTGGGCTGCTGAGCGAGAGTGCAGCACAGGTCAGGGGCACACACGGGGGCAGCAGCTGCCGGGGCCTCGGAGGAGGAGGAGGAGGAGGTGAGCAGGTGGTTCAAGATCAAATGTGGGACTGATGGGCACTTTGTGGGGCCTGAAGCCTGGGTGCAGGAGCCGCTGTGCGCCCAGGGAGAGGAGAGGTGGGAGCAGATCAGAGGCTTTAGTCTGGACCCCAGTGACCCCCTCTGATGACCCACTGGGGATTTGGGGCACGCAGGCTGGGTGTGTAAATTTGGGGTGCACACTGGTAACACAGTGAGGACCAGCAGAGGCTTCCCCTCCCTCTCCCGGGCCCCCGACCCCTGCACTCCCAGGTGGCCCTCAGTGGGAGAGGCACAGGGACACCCCGTTATCCACCTGTTATCCAGTGCCTCCCGGGGTGTCCTGCCCCAGTGTGAGCACCTTGGCTGGGGGAGGGGTGGGGCTGGGGTGGAGTGGTGGGGGCGGTGCTGTCGCTGCAGCTCCTTTGTCCAGAGGATGGCAGGACACGGGGGTCCCCACTGGCTCCATGGGGCACCTCTTGTCCCATCTCTTCCCTGATCTGGTCACAGCATCTCCCATGGGTGCCCAGGGGCTACCTGTGCCCCACCTGCTGAGAGCCCGGCACCCAGGCAGGCCCTCCCAGGCTCCCCTCTTGTGGGGCCCCTCCCCTCCCCCGGTGGTGGAAAAAGAAGTCCCGCCTCTCAGACCCTCTCCCAGCTGTGCCTGTGGGGGTGCCAGCTCAGGGGTCTATGGCCAGCCAGACTCCCAAGGGACCCTGCTGAGGTCTCATCAGCTGGCCCCTCTTGCTGCCCACCCCCCAGCTTTTCCTGGCTTCTAAGCAGCAAAGGGGTGTAGCACGGGGCGAGGAGGGGGTAGAGTCTGATGATTCAGAGCCCCCACATAGTGGGTCCAGGTAGGTGCTCACTAGGAGCTGGTACACAGATGCCAGGTGGGGGTGGGGGGGTACTGGCCCCTCCCATGCCCCTGACAGGGCTGACGGCTGGCTCTGCCCACAGGCTCTTCCAGGCCGTTCTCCTCCTCCTGGCCCTGACCATGCTGCTGCTGGCTGGCTTCCTAAACAGAGACATCGGGCTGTTCACACCGTGAGTTCTGCTTCGGGTGCCCCATGGTTTGGGCACTGCCCACCCCCCCAGGGCAAATCCTGAGACCCCAGCATGTCCACCCCTGGGCAGCACCCAGCACTGGCTGGTGGGTCATTCCAGGCCTCTGGACCGCCCAGCATCTCCTGTGGACAGTGAGCTGCCCAGGCCTCTGGTGGGGGGAGTTCGGGGGAATGGGAGTGGGCCTGGGCGCAGGGTGTCCTGGGCAGAGCTGCCGTGTACAGAGGGTGACAGGGTGCCCATGGTTCCTGCTCTGTGCAGCCCTGGGTCCTCAGGGATGGTCTCCCAGGTCCGGTGCTTTGGCCTGACCGCTGGGAGGTCTTGGGGCTCCAGGCTTCTTCTCCCTGACCCCACCACCTCTGGTGGGATCTCCCCAGGGGGCACCCCGGGCCCCTCTGCTGGCCCCCCATTGTTCCCAGGGCTGGCATAGGCCCCCCATTGTCCCAGGGCTGGCACAGCCCTCTGGATCCCATCCCCCCACTACCCTGGGTTATTCTTCCTGGCCACGCACTCAGGCAGGGAAGGTGCCCGCCGCCCCGGGCTGGAGTCACAGCTGGGAGGTGTGTCAGCGGATCACGAGAGTGGCCACCAGCATCCACTCTGGCCCCGCAATCAGGCTGGCCAGCCCAGGCATGAAGGGTTAGCCAAGAGACGCTGCATGTGTGGTCCAGGCCACGGGGCCAGAGCCACGTCTGGTGCCCTGAGAACCAGACAGGAGGCTGAGAGGCCAAAGAAAGGGCACCAGGGCCTGGGGGCCGAGATGTGCTGTGTGTGTGTGTGTGGGGGGGGGGGACGGATGAGCAGTCAGGTCTGTGCTAGGGGCCCCCGGGTTGCAGGGTTGGGGTCTCTGGAGGGCGGGGTACAGGGTTTGGGTGTGGCCTAGGGAAAGTGTGGGTTGGGGCGGCTGGGTGGTGGAGGCTGGTCTGAGAGTCTCCAGGTTGTGGGGTTGGGGGTCTAGGGTGGGGGGTCTGCGGACCCTCCCTGATTGACAGTGGCTGTGCTCCCCTCCCAGCCTGCTCGGGGACCAGGCCGAGGGCCCGCCCATTATCAACGTCATGTTCCTCAAGACACACAAGACCGCCAGCAGCACGGTTCTCAACATCCTCTTCCGCTTCGCGGAGACGCACAACCTGTCGGTGGCGCTGCCCGCGGGCGCGCGCTTCCACCTGGGCTACCCCTGGCTCTTCCTGGCGCGCTACGTGGAGGGCGTGGAGCCCCACGGCCCGCGGCAGCGTTTCAACATCATGTGCAACCACCTGAGATTCAACCTGCCGGAGGTACGGGGTGCGGGGAGGGGGCGGGGGGGAGACGCCATCCCAGGTCCTCTACGCGCTTTGTGCTTTGAGGTGAGACCACGGGGTGGGGATGGGGTGGCCTGGGCACTGGAGAGACTAAGGCTCTGAGTGCGCATGCGTGCAGACCTCGCCGCGGAGCCTCACACGGGGCTCCCCTCCCCTGCCGACAGGTGCCTGCAGGTGCTCTTGGACTCAGATGTGGGCGCCCTCCTGGCCTGCCAAACCCGCCGACCTCTTCCTCCCCAGGACCTTTGCACATACTGTCCCCTTTTCAGGGGACACTCTTCACAGCTCCTCCTCTGGGTCGCTCAGATCTCAGTTTATTTTTTATTTTATTTAAAATGCTTAGCGCGAGTGCGCGCACACAAGCGTGGGACGGGCAGAGAGAGAGGGACACAAAACCCCAAGCAGCTCCAGGCTCCCAGCCGGCAGCACAAAGCCCGACGGGGGGGGGGGGGGGGGGGGGGCTGCAACCCAGGAGCCGTGAGATCGTGACCTGAGCTCAGGTCTGGTGCTCAACCCCCGGAGCACCGCCTCCCTCCGCCCCCCCCCCACCCCGTGCCCCTCAGATCTCAGCTTTCCTGAGTCCCTTCCGAAGGCTCAGCAGGGGGAGAAGGCGGGGACGGGGGGCCGCCTGCGGCGGGACAGGGGCGTCACCAGCCCCCCATCGTGTGTCGTGTGTCTCCAAACAGGTGCAGAAGGTCATGCCCAACGACACTTTCTACTTCTCCATCCTCAGAAACCCCGTCTTCCAGCTGGAGTCCGCCTTCGCCTATTACAGGAGCTACGTGCCCGCCTTCCGGGCCGCGGCGAGCCTGGAGGCCTTCCTGGCGTCGCCGCGCACCTACTACAACCGCAGCGCGGGCCTGCGCAACGCCTACGCCCGGAACAGCATGTGGTTCGACCTGGGCTTCGACAGCGACGCGCCGGCCGCCGAGGCGTACGTGCGCGCGCGCCTGGCCGACGTGGAGCGGCGCTTCCAGCTGGTGCTCATCGCCGAGCACTTCGACGAGTCGCTGGTGCTGCTGCGCCGCGCGCTGCGCTGGCGGCTGGACGACGTGGCGGCCTTCCGCCTCAACGCGCGCAGCGCCCGCAGCGTCGCGCGCCTGTCGCCCGCGGGCCGCGCGCGCGCCCGGCGCTGGTGCGCCCTCGACTGGCGCCTCTACCAGCACTTCAACCGCACCTTCTGGGCCCGCGCGCGCGCCGAGCTGGGCCCGCGGCGCCTGCGCTCCGAGGTGGCGCAGCTGCGCGCGCGGCGCCGGGAGCTGGCGGCGCGCTGCCTGCAGGACGGCGGGCCCCAGAGCCCGGCGCGGGTCACCGACCCCGGGCTGCGCCCCCACCAGTCGGGCGACGCCGACATCCTGGGCTACAACCTCCGGCGGGGCCTGGACAACCAGACGCGGCAGCTGTGCCGGCGGATGGTGACGCCCGAGCTCCAGTACATGGCCCGCCTGTACGCCCGCCAGTTCCCGGGGAAGCCCCCCAAGAACGTCCCCTACCCGAAGGAGTAGGGGGACGGGCGGCCCCGTGAGGCCCCAGCCCCGCCCCTGTCGTCGCGCGGAGGCCTGGCACCGGGTCATGGGGCGGGTGGGCACAGCAGGGACTGGTCGGGGTGAAGACCCGGGGAGGCACCGTCCCTGATGCCTGCTCCGGGAGGCGCCTGTGTGGCGAGGGCCCCGATCTCGGAGAAGAGGACACCCGGCCTGAGGGCCTGACCCCGGTCAGCAGAACAGTCGGACATCATTACAGGTCAGCATAGGGTCCCGCGAAGGAGCGCACGTGGACTCGGCCCATCAAGGACTGGAGGGACACGGGGGGGCTCAGTCGGTGAAGCGCCCGACTTCGGCTCAGGTCATGATCTCATGGTTCGTGGGTTCGAGCTGGCGTCGGGCTCTGTGCTGACAGCTCAGAGATTCTGTGTCTCCCTCTCTCTGCCCCTCCCCTGCTCACACTGTGTCTCTCTCTCTCACTCTCAAAAATAAATATTAAAATTTCTTTAAAAATAAATAAATAAATAAACAAACAAACAAACCTGGAATCCAGAGAATCCCGAGGGGTGGGTACGCAGGGCCGTGAGTCCTGGAAGGGGCTCGGGATTGCCCACCACAGAGACACTTGTGCAGCACCACAGGCAGTCCGGGGAGGACAGGCCCAGGGAGCGGGAAGGAGGCTGCAGGACCTAGAATATTCAGCTTCCCGTCTTTGGCTGCAGGAGGCTTCTTCCCAACGAAGAATGGCTTTAGGTTGAGAAACGTTCACACTGCCTATATAAGACACATGGTTTGGCCGAGCACAAGGGCAGGGTCAGGGCCGTAGCTGCCCTTGGGACAGCCCCCCAGAGCACCTGCTGGAGGACCCCCCACAGCTGGCTGTGCCCTCCCTTGCCCCGCAGACCCCGTCCATGCAGCCCCAGGGGAGGGTGGCTTCCAGGCCCCCCCGTTTGCCAACTGTGGGGAGGCACTGAGGCCCCCCTGCCCAGCAGGACGTGATCTCTGGCCGCCCGGGCCCCCAGTGCGCAGAGTGGGGTGCACACCGGGGCCAGATTGCCTGTGTCCCGAGGGAAGTGGGGTGCCTGGAGTGACCCAGAGCCGCTCCCACACACTGAGCCTGGAGGCTCAGCCTGGCCTGTCTGCCCAATGCCCAGGGTCTCCTTCCTTCCACACCAGGGTCCTCGGCCCCAAAGTCCCCAGTCACCAGGCCGGGGCCCCCGTGCGGGGTCTCCAGGGGTGGGCACAGCCATGCTTCTCAGGGGGACAGCATTTTGGGGAGACGCTCAGCCGCCAGAGCAGGCAGCAGCTACCTTGGACATCAGTTTATTTTATTTTATTTTTTAATAAAGGATGTTTAAAAATTTTTTTAAATCTTTTATTTATTTTTGAGAGAGAGAGAGAGACAGCATGAGCAGGGGAGGGTTAGAGACAGAAGGAGACACAGAATCCGAAACAGGTTCCAGGCTCTGAGCTGTCAGCACAGAGCCTGACGTGAGGCTCGAACCCACGAACCGTGAGATCATGACCTGAGCTGAAGTCGGATGTTTAACCAGGTGCCCCTTGGACGTCAGTTTAATGGCGGGAAATTTAAGAATGAATTTTCAGTGAGATTAGAGGACACATTGCAGATTTTGAGAGTAAAACAGGACATCGGAAACTGAACACCTGACTTACTGCACAGGGACAGTAAAGACCAGAATGGACACTGCAGAGAGTCCGGGGCCGCCCGACCCCGTGGAGGGATGTCCTGAGGGAACACAAGGGAAATCAGGTGTAGGTTAGCCACCACGTGGGTAACAGAGTCCCGGAAAGAGAGTGAGGGATTTATAGGTAAGAAACTATAGCTAAACAAAGAAATGAAAAAATTACCCTGATTTGAAGAAAGACTCAAAGCAAGTTCTGTGGCCTGGGCGTCAGGCAGGCTCCACCAGTTAGCGTGGGCCAGTAACCCGTCTGGGGTGAGGACAGACGTGCCTCGTCCGTCCCCAGGGCCGGGACCACAGAAGCGGGTCTGTTCTCAGCATGCTGATCAAGAACGCGAAATTATAGTCGAAATTCAATGATGTTTGCTTTTGTCTTGAGGTTGGCAGGAATGTAAACTGGTTCTGTCTCTTTGGATGGAAATTCGGGGGTTTCTATTACATGTAAAGTGCGTGTGGTCTGGAACAAAAAGACACGGAAAACAACCTGCTCAGGAAATCCATTCAAGGAAGACATCTAAGGAATGTTTAAAATGCTGGAATCTTCTGCAGCCAGTAAGAGTGGGGAGCACAGCAGTCATCCGGAAAGTCCCTTTGGGAGGGGGGTTTCCAGGCCTTGCTGATGCTGGTGGCAGGGGTGGGGGCAGCGGGGAGTGATGGCTGCCTGTGGCTGTGGCCAATTTTTCAGGAGAAGCTGGAAATACAGGTTTTCGTGGGAAACCTCCACGCTTTGTTTGAAAACTGCTGGCAACTCACTAAAACGTTATGGGTTTGGGAGGGTGGGTGAATAGGTGGACGGGATTAAGAGGAACAAACATCCAGTGAGGGAATTAATAAGCAGTGAGGGCCGAGAGCCCAGCGCAGAATGTTGTCTGCGGTGACCATGACCATACTCGGGGCCCTGTGTGGTGTGTGCAGCTGTGTCCTGACCTGAAGCTGGTACAGTGTCCCGTGTCAACCGTACCTCAGTAAAACAAGGGCAAAGACAGAACACCAAACCCAGCCCCAGATCTCTTATTCTGTTCCTGGAGGAAAGACGACTGTAACACAGGAAGAACAGCTGGCTCTCGGATGTATAGATGGGAAAGATTATTAACGGCTTACTTATAATTTTATTCACCATATTGTTGAAAGTTTCTATGAATAAAAGTTTTCCAAATGGTAAGATATTTATTAAGCACTCCTCGGTATTGTAAAAAAACAACCCACGAAATACCCAAACCCCAAATCCTTAGGCAGAGGAATGAGGCCTGTGCAAAGGCTGCCTCCTTCCAAGACCCCCGCGGGGATCCGGGTTCAGTGGCCCTGACTGGACATGGGGGCTTCGCACCCGTGATTTGGGGGCACGGAGGCTCAGTGGGGGGCCCATGAGACTGCATCTGGCCCAGACTCGGGGGACAGGGGAGGGAGATGGTCTGAGTGGGGCCCTGAGAGGTGGGGAGGCTGTGCTGCCTCCTTCCCAGTCTTCCAGTTCCTTCCACTGCACATCTCTGGGCTTCTGTTTGGGCACATGTGGCCAGCTAGGGACATCCCTGCTGCCCAGTGGCCGGGCCGTGGCCTCGGGGTCTCCTCCCACTGGGGACCTGCCCCTGGGACCTGAACAGATACGGCAGGTTACCATCCCTACGTGGATATCACATGAGGTCTTATTTTCCCAAAGCCGTTTCCCCTTCGAGGTCCTATTGTAACAGCTGACGTGAGGTCACGCTTGCTGAATCACACATAGGGACTCCACCAGATGAGTCGTCACACTAAGGAGACTTTATTTGCAGCAAATAAGGAGATCCCGGGAAATAACTTTCGAAGCCGTGACCCCCGAGCGAGGGCGGCTGGCTTCCTGTTATTTAGGGTTCGGATGGAATATTCACAGAGGCGAGCCTTGGCATCCGTGTCGAGGCAGCCATGTGGTCACACACGGGCCTTGGGGACACCCATGGACACACACGCTGCCTGTTATATAGACGCCCCTCCTTGGACGGAGGGTTAGTGTTACACTGAGGTGAGGGTAACTGTTGGTGGCTCCGTGGGTCGCTCCGTGGTGCGTCTGCGCAGGCGTGAGTCAGGGGTCGACCTCACACTGGTCAGGGCGGTCTGGGCCCCCAAAGCCTTTTGCCCAGGCTGCCGTTACCGCTCAGAGGAAGTTTGAGTTTCCATCGCAGGCTGCTTACCTTCTGGGCTTTTGCCTGAATGAGGAGATCTGGGGAAAGAAGAGCTTCAGGGAGAAAGGTCAGTGGGGCCCAGCAGGTGGGCAGTAGAGCTCGGTCTTGGGGTCCTGCTGGTGATACCATGTCAGAGGGAGGGGGAGGGGATGGAGTGCGGGTGGGGCCCAGGGAGCAGGGTGGCTCCTTGGCCTCTCCACAGATGGCAGGTGGGGGTGCTGAGGGCTCCCCTGGAACCCTGGCCTGGGCAGCAGTCCTCCGAGAAGTGGGCCCAGGTGGAAGGCGCCAACACTGGCCAGGTGGCTGGGTCTAGGAAGGGGGTAGGATGCTGGCCCGCCCGCTCTGAGCTGGCTCCCCAGCATGGCCGTGGGGGCTGCATCCTGGGCGTGGTGTGAAGGTCACGGCACCTGGCCGGGAGTCTGAGTGCTCACCTGGCTTCACTCAGCAGGGTGTCTCTGGGCGATGCTTGTGGGCAGCAGGTATCTGTGTCCGGCTCAGAGGTTGGCTGTGGCCCTTGGCGGCCAGCTGCCTGGCACGGCCCTGCCGGAGGGTGAGCCCCCAGATGGCAAGCACTCAGCGTGGAGAGTTGAGCAGGGAGAGGAGCCCCTCGTGGCGCTGTCACGACACCGGGCCCCTCCCCGGGGTGGCCTGCTGCTCATCTGCCCGCTCTCCCTGCTGCACAGCTGGAGGGAGGGTCCTGGGTCCCGGGTCCTGACGCCAGCTCCTGGCCCCCGCCCACACAGCGGGCCCTTCTCTGCCCTGCTTGGCGGCTTGGAGAAGCAGACGCTCCTGTTGCTGCCCCACAGCAGCTCTATGGCCTCTCCGTGGTGCCCGGTGAGTCCTCTCCCTGCTCACCTGGACCCCAGCCCCGAGGGCCAGAAATGAGCTCCTTGGTCCTCCCTGGCTGCCCTTCTCTGGGCCAAGGGCAGTGGGTGGGTGGACTGAGGACCCCCCCGTGGGAAGAGGTCCTGGCCCAAGTGACAGGTGTGCCGAAGGGCCCCGGGGGTAGACTTAGAGGTTGAGTGATGTAGATGGGTTGCTGGGGCTCAACACCGGGGGTGCCGTCCCAGCCTGCGGGATACCAGACACAGGGTTTGTGATGGAGTCCTTGCCCCTGTGAGGGCACAGGACACTCAGGTCAGGCTGGAGACCCGCAGGGATGGAGCTAAGAGGCCCCTCTGCCCACCTTGTACTCAAGGCCCTGCTCTCTTCACGTGTGTGCATTTACGTGCCGGCAGCCGGCCGGGGTCCTGGTCCAAAGGATGGGAGCTCTGTGCAGTCAGCAGAGTGAGCCCCCGTGTCTCCTGCTCTGTCCCCAGGCTGGGGGCAGGGTGGCCCCGGAGCCTGTGCTCTCACAGACACCAGCCCAGGGTCTCGTGGCCTGTGGAGTGAGCCAAGTGGAGAGAATGTCCCCTGTGTCTGTTCAGCCTGTGGGGACACGTGGCACTTGCACCTGCTTCCTGCTTGGGCACAATTGCCTTTTGGATGCAGACTGGGGGGGGGGGGCGGGGGCTTCCCGGACATGGGAACCTGCTCACAGAGGCTGTGGTGGGGGTGCGGTGGGCAGTGGGGTGTGCCCGTGTGCTGCCCGGGAGAGCCTTTTGGGAGCAGGTGGCCCTGGGCTGAGGCGGAAATGTCTGTTTCGGGGACCTCAGGATCGGAGGTCGAGCCAGCCAGCCCTCCCGTGTGTCTGAGCAAGAAGGCCACTCCTGTGTCGGGCTGCTCATTCCCGTGACCGGTCACCCCTCTCCATCCTGTCTCCTCAGACATGCACCACCTGTGCCCTGTGCGAGGGCTTGACCCGCGGAGAGCGGTGCTCCGAGCCTGAGGTGGGGGTCCGGCTCTCTCCCGCCCCCCTCCCCTCAGTGCTCTCTAGGTTACAGTTAACCCCCCAGTGGCTGGCAAGGTCCCTGGCTGCTCAAAGTCTGGTGTGTGGCACTGCCACCTTGCACCGTCCTGGGTACCCTGGACCTCTCTGCCCATTCACTCACGTCCCTCCTGGGGGCCGGGCCAGCCCACATTTGCCTTTGTGCAAATCTGAGACAGAGGCCCCCATGTGCACCCCAAGCGGGAGCCTCCCTTAGGAGCACACGCCTAGGTCTGGGGCTGCTCCAGGAAGTCTGCCCTGGGCCACTCTGTCCATCATCCCTGGAGGAGCCCTGACTTGTGGGTGAGGGGGGTGGGTGTCCAGCCAAGGTTTTGGGGGGCGGGGCTGTGAGGGGCATGGGGCTCAGAGCCGGGGCAGGTGGGGCCGGGGTTGTGGAAGAGAGGCCAGTACTGCAGCGGGGAGGGTCTTCTTTGTCCTTGCTGAATCTCCCCCCACAGCAGAGGGGGGGAGCCCTCCTGCCAGGGCCCCTCCCCCTGTGCCTGGAACGTACCCTCCCCTCTGTGTCTTCCCGACTTAGCCTTCCACTCCGGGAAGCCCCCAAGGGCACCACACCCTCCCCAGCCCAGCAGCTTCAGCTTGTGGGGTTCAGCTGGGGGAGGGTCCAGACACTGGGGGTGCATGTCTTTTCCTCATCACTGTGGGAGCAGCTGCTTTCCAAGTTCACACCCCCCTCGGCACAGACTAGAGCTGGCCTGGCCCCCTCTTTCGTAGCTCCTTCCTGCCAGGAGGGGGCAGGGGCGGGACGGGGGGGGGTACTCTGTGGCCTCCCTGGAGTCCCTCACTGCTCCTCTATCTCCCTTGAGGCGCACGTGTGGGCCATTTGGGGCCCCCTGGGGCGTGGTTCAGCTGGACCTCCCGGTGCCCCCCCCCCACTTTGCTCAGGAGCCTGGGGGGGCAAGGGCGGCTGGGGAGACCCACTGGCGCCCCCTCTTGGTTTCAGCAGGCCGCCCCCCTCTACTGGCCACTCCCAAGAATCCCCTGACCCTCAGGTCTGAGAAGGGCGGCTGCAGCAGCCGCTGGGGCACCTTCCCCAGAAGCCTGCGACCCGGGTGTGGAACGCAGCTCTGTCCAGAATCTCCTTCCTGCTTGGTGAGCGCGTCCTGTCTGCGCCTGCTTCGCGCCCGTCTTTCCGGGTCTCCTTTCCCGGGGGTCTGGCGTGTCTGTTTCTCTGCTCGCGGGGCTCCTGCGCTTGGGGGTCTCTATTTGGGGAAACCGAACCCCTGCGTGTCCCAAACACAGGAGTCCCGGATCGTCCGCTTGGCGGGGCTCCCGCCTGTGTCCCAGGCACCGGCAGACTGGGCCCCCGGCCAGGCGCCCCCGCTCCCAACACCGGGAGGCAGCAGGGACCCGGTTGAGAGGGGGAAGGGCCGACTGCCGACATTTGGGGTGCAGTGGCAGGAAGGGAAGGGCGGCGAGGGACCGCTGTGGACTTGGGGTGAGGAGCTTGGGATAGGGCCGTCTCCGAGGGGGGCCACTGAGGGGCGCGCGGGGTGGGAGGAGGCGTCTGCCCATCTGGGTGGACAGGCGGGGAGCGCGCCGGCCCCGCGCGCTCACCCTGGGCTCCGATGACCCCGGGGCCCCGGGCCGCGCCCGCAGAGCATGGGGGCCCCGCGCGTCCCCGAGCGGACCGTGCTTTTCCAGCGCGAGAGGAGCGGCCTGACGTACCGCGTGCCCGCGCTGCTGCCCGTGCCCCCCGCGCCCACCCTGCTGGCCTTCGCGGAGCAGCGGCTCAGCCCCGACGACGCGCACGCGCACCGGCTGGTGCAGAGGAGGGGCACGCTGGCGGGGGGCTCGGTGCGGGTGAGTGGCCGGGCGCACCCCGCGGGCAGGGCCGGGGTGGGCCGCCGCAGAGTGCAGGTAAACCGAGGCCGCCCGCCCTCCCCCTCCCCCTCCCCGCGCAGTGGGGCGCCGCGCGGGTGCTGGGGACGGCGGCCCTGGAGGAGCACCGGTCCATGAACCCCTGCCCCGTGCACGACGCCCGCACGGCCACCGTCTTCCTCTTCTTCATCGCCGTGCGGGGCCGCACGCCGGAGTCCGCGCAGATCGCCTCGGGCAGGAACGCCGCGCGCCTCTGCTGTGTGACCAGCCGGGACGCGGGGCGCAGCTGGGGCGCCGCCCGCGACCTCACGGAGGAGGCGGTGGGCAGCGCGGAGCAGGGTAGGTGGGGCGGGTTGGCTTGGGGGTGGGGTCTGCACCCAGGCTCGGTCTGCACCGGGAGGGGGACAGGGTCTCACCAGGAGGTGAGAGGAGGGCCGGCCCTGCGGGGAGGGGGAAGGGTCCTACTGCAGGTCACGTGGCTGCCTGCTGAGCGCTGAGGCCCCTCCCTCTCAGCACCCAGGCCCCATCGCCACCCTCTGCCTTCTTACCGCCCCAGGAGCGTCCAGCCCGGGCCCCAGGGCTAGGCGGGTGGCCTGACCCTAAAGCTTTTCCTCCACTCCTGCCCTCCCCCCAAAGGCTGGACTACCCACTGCCCCCTGAGGCCACCCCAACCCTGGCATGGGGACACTGACCCAGGGGACCCTGACTGCTCACCTGACCCTTGTAGGGGGGAGCTGAGGGCATGCAGGCTTTGAGACCTGGACAGGACACACGGAGCTGCTCTGAAGGGCTCTCTGCTCCCGTGGCCCCTTCCCCACCGGACTCAGGCCTGACCCCACCCTGAAGGTCCTTGAACCCCCTCTGCCCTAGGCTGCCCTCCTGGGCTCAGGGACCAGCCACCTGCTCCGGAGCCGAGAACCTGGCCGAGTAGCCTGCCTGGGCTCCCTGCTCCTGCCAGTGGTGGAGAGAGGCTTGTCCAGGGCTGGAGGCTTCCGGGGGGCTGGCAGGAGTGGGGGATGGGTGCCGGACCCCACTTGCTCATGCGCATCCCCACATCTGGCTCCTGATCTCCCGCCCCGAAGCGTGGTGGCACCTGGCATCAGCCAAGGCTGTCTCCCGGCTGGGATAACCGGCAGCCCCTCTTCTCCGCAGACTGGGCCACGTTTGCTGTCGGCCCGGGCCACGGCATCCAGCTGCGCTCAGGCCGCCTGCTGGTGCCGGCCTACACGTACCGCGTGGACCGGCGGGAATGCTTCGGCAAGATCTGCAGGACCAGCCCGCATGCCTTCACCTTCTACAGCGACGACCACGGTCGCACCTGGCACCACGGAGGCCTTGTGCCCAACCTTCGCTCAGGCGAGTGCCAGCTGGCCGTGGTGGACAGCGGTCGGGCCGGCAGCGTCCTATACTGCAACGCCCGGAGCCCCCTGGGCAGCCGCGTGCAGGCGCTCAGTGTGGACGAAGGCACCTCCTTCCTGCCCGGCGAGCTCGTGCCTGCGCTGGCCGAGACGGCCCGGGGCTGCCAGGCCAGCGTCCTGGGCTTCCCCGCCCCCGTCTCCAGCGAGCCGAGGGATGACAGATGGCCAGTGGGTGTCAGGAGCCACTCCCACTCTCCACACCTCTGTCTTGGAGTCCAGGAAGCCTCAGAGGAGAGTACTGGAGACACCCAAGGGGCCCAGGGGCCCAGGGGGATGGAAGGATGCAGGGACAGCCCTGAGGAGCCTGGCCTGGGGCCTGGGCTCAGTGGGATCACGATGGCCTGGACCCCAAAGGTGCCCGGGCCTCCTGCCACCCTGTCTCAGAGCCCCACCTGGATGCTGTATTCCCACCCGGTGGGGCGCAGGGCTCGGCTCCATATGGGAATCTATCTGAGCCGGTCCCCCATGGACCCCCACAGCTGGACGGAGCCCTGGGTCATCTATGAGGGCCCCAGCGGCTACTCTGATCTGGCATCCATCGGGCCAACCGTCAAGGGAGCCCTGACCTTTGCTTGTCTGTATGAGAGTGGGGCCAGGGTCTCCTACGAGGAGATCTCCTTCTGCATGTTCTCCCTTGTTGAGGTCCTGCAGAACCTGCCACCGGGCCCCAGGCCACCAGTCCTCGGGGACAAGTGTCTGGAGCGCTGCCGGCCTTCCTGACGGCCTCTCTGGCCTGAGCCATTTGTATGTACCTAATAGTATGCTTTGAAATATGAAACACAAGTGAGCAGACTTCTAGGAGCAAATAGATCCACCGTTACAGTAGAAAATTGTAGATGCGAGTCTCAGTGACTGGCAGTGAGCAGACAATTTCAGGGGACACACACAGGAGCCCCGGACAGCTTGCCCAAGGAGCGTGGCTCCGTGGACACACGCAGAGCACTGCGCGGGACAGAGTGCACCGTCCGTTCGAAAACTGATATTATATTGGATCACAAAGTCAAGCCTCTACCAGACTTCAAAGGATTGAGAATTACAGTGAAATTGAGCTAGAAATAAAAACAAAAGGAAACTTAAAATCTCCCTTGTGGGGAAGCCTGGGGGGCCCAGTCAGTTAAGTATCGGACTCTGGATTTCGGCTCAGGTTGTGATCTCACGGTTCGTGGGGCCTAGCCCTGGGTTGGACTCTGCGCTGAGCTTGGAATTCCGTCCCTCCTTCTCCCTTGGCTCATCCCTCACTTGACCTCTCTGTGTCACTCAAAAATATAATAATAAAAAAGCTCTTTTTAAAAAATCTTCCTTGTGTCTGAAAACTGAGAAACACAATTCTGAATTACTCCTGGTTCAAAGAAGATGCTACAGTTAAAATGAGAAAAGATGTTGAAATTAATTATGCGAGGACCGCAGAGAATCTATGAGCTGAGCTTAGCAGGATGGGCCGGGTGGGGCCAGGGCGGGGGAGGCGCCATGATGCCACCACCTCAGAAAGTGGTGGTAAGTGGAGTCCAGAGAAGCAGAGGGAAGGGAACAGGCCAGAACAGGCCAGAGCAACAGAAGACCTCAGACACCAGAGGGAAAAGGCAAAGCTGGGTTTTTAGAAAACGAATAAAACTGATAAACGCCTCATGAGGCTGATCATAAAAGACAGAGAACACACAAATAACCAATATCAGGAGTGAGACGGGACACACAACGTCCCTACAGATGTTCACAGATTTCAAGAAGATATTAGGAATTATTTATATGAATGGACAATTCCTGGAAAAATACAACTTATTAAAGAGGAAATAGAGAAAATCTGAAAAATCTTATTAAAGAATTTTATTCTGTAATTTAAAATCTCTGCACACTGGGGCTCCTGTGTGGCTCAGTAGGTTGTGTCCGACTTCGGCTCAGGTCATGATCTCACGGTTCTTGCGTTCGAGCCCCGCGTCGGGCTCTGTGCTGACAGCTCAGAGCCTGGAGCTGCTTCGGATTCTGTGTCTCCCTCTCTCTCTCTGACCCTTCCCTGCTTGTGCTCTGTCTCTGTCTCTCTCAAAAATAAAACATTAAAAAATAAAAAATTTTAAAAATCTGCATTCTAGGAAAGCTTCAGGGGTGCATGGCTTTCCCCGTGAATTCCGCCAACACTTCAGGGTATCTGCCGGTTTATAGGATAGTTTTGCTTTGCCAGAAATTGCCAAGCCTGTGTTCCAAAGTGGCTGCACCATCTGCATATCGTCTTTGGTGAGGTGTCTGTTTAGAGCTTTTGCCTCTTTTTTTTAGTTGTGTTGCTCGCTTTCTTATTGGTGAGTTTGAGACTTGTGTGCATGCTTCAGCAAGTGGGCAGATGGAAAGATGCTCCCCATCAAACGTCATCAGGGAAAAAGAAAACAAGATAGCAGGATGCCATCAGCCGGGTAGCGCGGGCGGTGCGGAAGCCCGACAGCGCCACATGCTGGCGAGTCGTGGAGCAGCAGGAGCGTTCTCTTGGCCCGGCAGCCACGTGGGAAGACGGTGCACGTTACACCGCCTTACAGAACGGAACAAACTCTTGCTGTCGATCCAGGAGTTGTGCTCCTTGGCATTTATCCAAATGAGTTGAAAACTCACGTCCACACAAAAACCTGCACATGGATGTTTATAGCCACTTTATTCATAATTGCCAAAGCTCGGAAGAAATCAGGATGTCCTTCGGGAGGTGAATGTTCAAACTGGTCCATCCAGACACTGGGAGGTGACTCAGCGCCACAAAGCACAGAGCTGTCGGGCCGTGAAAAGACACAGAGGAGCCGCAAAGGTGCATCACTAAGTGAAGGAAGCCTTTGGAACGGTTGTGTACTGTGCGATCCATATGGCATTCTGGGACGCAGACCTTTGGAGACAGTACAAAGACCACTGGCTGCCAGAGGTTGTGCGGAGGAGGGGTGCACAGGAGGGGCACGGAGGAGTCTTAGGGCAGCGAGGGGAGTGAGCGGGCACATGTCACCATACATTTGTCCAAACCCACAGAGTGCACATCACCACAAGTGAGCCCCGATGTGAACGAGGGACTTTGGGTGATGATATAGGACCCCGGCTGCTCCTCAGTTAGGACGGACGTGGGGTGGGGTGCTGACCCAGGGGACACTGCATGTGTGGGGGGTGGGGGAGTGTACTGCAACTTATTGCTTGGTTGTTACGTAAACCTAAAACTGCTTTAAAACATATCTACTAATTTGGGTGCCTGAGTGGCTCATTCGGTTAAGCATCTGACTTTGGCTCAGGTCATGATCTCACAATTCATGAGTTCAAGCCCCGAGTCAGGCTTTGTGCTGACAGTTCAGAACCTGGAGCTGCTTCAGATTCTGTGTCTCCTTCTCTCTCTTTGCCCCTCCCCTGCTTGTGCTCTGTCTCTCTCTTTCTCTCATGAATAAATAAACATTAAAAAAATAAATCTACTAATTAAAAAATGTATAGCCCTAAACACTCTGACAGTAAGAACAGGGAAAGAAGAAAGTGCCTAACAATAGTTGTATAATCGTGAAAGCATCCAAGCGGCCAGTGCACTCGTGACAATGTCATCAGCCTCACCGCGCGTCAGTCAGCTCAGGAGCCGTGGACACAGGCCCCGCAATTGGGAGGGGCCGCTGCACAGGAGCCAGAGGGCACAGGGTCCCTCCTTAGGGGGGAGGTTGGGCAGCAGTTGGGGGGTTCCAACGACTGGGGTCAATGTCATTCTGGCTATGCCACCTTGATTGCCCTCAGGAGGACACCTCCCCGCCCCCATCTTGAAGTCCCCAAAGATCTCAGGAGCTGCACCCAGGTGCAAAGAGGCTTCTGTCCAGCCCAGATTGATTGCCAACCCGGTGGGGCTGGGACCCGGGGCCGGGCCGCCAGCCCCTCTTTCACGGTCCCCGTGTCGGGTCTCCCGTGGGGCCTGTGCTTTTCTCCTGCCCGGTCCTACAGCGCCCCCACCTTGGGTTTCGGGGTGCGGTTCAGACCCCCGTCCTGCCTGTCCCGCACAGCCTTGCATTCCTGTCTTGAGGAGGCCAGCCCTTGCCCCCAGCTCTGCAGACCAGGAGAGGGTGAGCCCAGGTAGTGGGGAGGCCGCCCTCCCGGGCAGAGGGGCTCCCAGCGGGGGCTCTAGTGGCCCCGGGCTGTCGGGCGGCCACATGCCTCTTGCTCTGGCTTCTCTGCGCTGGGGTCTCAGGCCTCGTCTGAGGAGCCCAGGCTCCCAGCGGGTCCTCCTGAAGCCCCTCTCCGGGAGGTCCGCGGGGCTAGCAGAGAGGGACCCAGTGGGGGGCGTGGGTGGGGGTGGGCGAGGTGCCCCAGCCCGGCCCCGTGACACACAGGACCGGGGCAGAGCGGGGCACGGAAAAAGTGAGTGGAGGCGGGCTGCAGGGGCCGGTTCCGGGAAGGCGGGCAGCAAAGTGCTGACTGTGCCCTGGGGCTCTTGCTTCTCATCCGAGGCGTGGTGCTGCCGCCAGCGCGGCCGGCCGGTGGCTGGTGAGGCCACCGCTTCCTTCCCTCTCCGCGGCCTGCTCTGCTGTCACCTCCTCCGTCTCTTTATTCTAGAATACAAACTCATTTCTTTTAAAACATACTCGAAATGTGTCAGTTCGATTTTTAATTCTAATTTTGGTGTTTTTTATGCTCAAAGTACCCCCTTGTCTTTGAATAGAACCCCAGCTCAGTTCCTTGTTTCTGGGGGGCAGTGAGTTGCTCGGGGGCTCCCCCCGCTCCCGTTGCCTACCTGGGTCGCGGTGTCCTGGCGTCTGGCTCACCCCTGGGAGGAGCTCTATGGGGGGTTCATGGGTCAAAGGGCACATGTCTCTCTAACCGCCCGCAGGTGCCTAGTCGCCCATAGCACTCCAGGCCCCGCTCTCCCATCCCACCACCAGCACCGGGTTGTCACGTGGTCAGCGTTTTGCTCACGGGTAAGTTGTAAGTTGTAATTTGCATTTTTCTTATGAGTAAAATTGAACATCCTTTGGTTGCTTAAGGGATCTGTGTACAACACGTATGTGGGGTGTGTGTTGTGTGGGGCATGCGTGTGTGTGCGTCCATGCATGTGTGTGTGCATGCGTGTGTGTGCGCCCATGCATGTGTGTGTACGTATGTGCGTGTGTGCGTGTGCGCCCATGCATGTGTGTGTGCAGGCGTGCGTGGGCATGTGCGGTAGGAGCTGCCTTGTCATATCTTCTGCTCACTTTTCCATTGTGCCTCTGAGCTTGCTCTTTCCGTACTTTAGAAGGTCTTTGCATAATCGGAGTGTTAGCCTTTTATGTAAAAATATTGCAAATACTTTCCCCTCATTCGCTTCTGCCTTTTTTTTTTTCTGCCACATTAAAGTGTTTCCCCTGATGTATAGAATTGACTGTATCAATCTCTCTAATGGGCTGTGGTTTGGAGCCGGTGTAGGGAGGCTTTCCTGCGTCAGCGTGAAGAAGTCACCCGTGTCCTCTGTGTCTGGCAGGGTTTCTGTGTTACACTTGTACGTGGGATTTGTGCAAGTCCCTGGCCTGCCAATGGAGTCTACCTGATAGTTTTTCCACGAGCTGCTCACGCCCTTTATTACGAAGTGTGTCCTTTAGCAGTGTCCCAGCTTCTGTGCACACCACCGTTTCGAGCCGGAGATCTGATAAAGGTGCACTGCTTTCACTTCCTTTTCTTGGTTTCCTAGGCTTCTTCTTGCTTGTTTGTTTCTCCATACGGACTTTTCCATTGCAGTGGATGCCACTGGGATTGTGTGTTACATCCAGCAGGCGGCCCGGGCAGAGCTGGTGGCTCGGCAGCACCGCGTGTCTCCGCCCAGCGGGCTCACACTTGCAGCCAAGCCGTCCTCCTGTGGGTTCGCACGTTTCTTGTTAAATTTATTATGCCTCAGGCATAAATTAAGGTCTTCTGCCACTTTTTATTCTAGCTGGCGGCTGCCTGAATATATGAAAGCCATTTACTCCTGGGTGTTAACTTTGTGTGTGCTTCCTGACTACGTTTCCTTATCGCTGTGCTAACACGCGAGCCCGGGCCTCCCGCAGCCTCCCCGGCCGCGGCCGCTCCAGGTGTGATCTTGCCTGGCGCCCTTGCCTCGTCTCGGACACGGTGATTCTAGCTCCTGCCCCAGCCAGGACAGGACCCCCGCGTGGTGGGCACAGGGTGTGAGCGCCGAGGGCTGGGTGGGGGGCAGCTGTGCTGCTGGCCCCTGAGGGTTTGGACGATGCCCACTGGGAAGGACAAGTGGGGAGGCCTGGTGTCACTGCAGTCAGGGACGCGTGCTGAGGACCCTCCTGGGGGTGGTCTTCTTCCTGGGGGATGGAACGTATGGGAAGGGCCGTGTTTCTCTGCTGGGGCTGTGCGCACTCGCAGCCTGACCTGCCCCCGGCCCAGCGCACTGACGCTTCCTGGGAGGGACGGTCGGGTGCAGGGGCTTGTGGGGAGGGCTGTTGCAGGGCAGACAGACACAGCCGCCTGGCTGAGGTGGTCTGGGGACAGACTTCTCGAGGGGGCCACCTGCTGGCACCCCATGGTGCACGTGAGGGGAACAGAGATGGGGCCTCAAGGGCTCTGTGTGCTCCTGGGGCAGAGAAGGTGCGGCCAGGCGGGTGAGGGCCAGGCCTGGGAAGAAAGACCCCCCCCCCCAACCTCAAGAGCAGGAGAGAACCCGGGCTTTTCTTAAGGTTTCGTCATTATTTAATTATAATAGAATAGAATAAGGTAAGGGGCCCTGAGGTCTGTGTGGAACCCAACACAGCCCCTGACGCCGGGGTGGCCAGTCCCCCTGCCTGGACAGTAGGCCTGAGGGGGGGGGCCGGCCAGAGACCCCTGTAAATAGCACCATGCACGGGCCCCGAGGGGAGGGCGACTCCCGGGGGTCCCCAGGCAGCCCGTCTGGGAGGCCTCCAGCTCTGCCTCTTCCCCTTGTTGCCACCTCCCCTGCCCCCAGGCTGCCTGGTGGGCTGGGCCGTGCATGAGGGTGGCCCATGGGTGCCCTGCCCTTCCCCACGCCAGGACCTCTTTTCCAGGCCTGCAGGAGCACCAGGTCCCCGGCCCCATGCGAGTGCCCCTCCAGCTGTGGGGGTACCTCACTGGCAGAGTCCCCAACCGGGGACCCTGTGCCCCGACTTCCAGGCACCAGGCTCCCCAGGGAGGCAGTGGTGGGTCAGGGAGACCCCTCAGCAGGAGGCCACAGCACTAGGCAGCCCCCCCAGGGAGGCACTTGTGTGGGGGGCGCAGAGCAGCAGATCCGGGGAGTGATGGGCTGGCTCAGACCCTGAATCCCCTGCACCCGGCCACATGGGACAGTGACACCTCCCGCCCCTAGGTCACGTGAGCAGTGAGAGGAGAGCCGAGCCGGCAGCCCCTTCGCCTCCTCGCAGGTGCTCCTCCGGGGAGGGTCCGCCTGTGCTCCTGGCAGAGGCTCTGAAGGATGAAGGCCAGCGGAGGAAGCCCGTCAGAGGGGCCAAGGGCAGGGTCTGTCTTCAGGCCTCAGAGGCAGGGGGCCCGGGGAGCCCGGCCTGCTGGGGAAGACGATAGTGGCGTACTCCGTCTGTTCAGGGGCGCAGGGGGCCGAGGGCTCCGGCGTCTTCTCTCGCCACTGGAAATCCAGCTCTCCATAGTCCACGGTGAACACGGGCGCTGCAGAGGGGCCCTCCTTCTGGCGAGAGAGAGGGCTGGAGTCAGGTCTCCACATGGCAGACATGCGGGGAGGGGTGGGGGTGGGTGCACCAGCACACGTGCAAACGCAAAGCCAGAGCAAGCCGGGCGGGGCCTGTGCTCCATCACCCTCCCTGGGGCCTGGTGTCCCGACCTCAAACTCCCTGAGGGAGCTGGTTCCTAGCCTTCCCCGTGAGCCCTGAGGGGGGCGGGGGTGGAGCCAGCCCTCCCCCATCACAGTATGGGGTCTGGCGCCAGGGCAGCGCAAAGGGAAGGGAACTCACCAGAGGCTCGTCCTGGCTCCCGCAGGCACAGGCACCTGTGAAAAAGCTTCCGGAGTTAGCCGAGGAGACCTGGCAGGTCTCTGCATGTGGGTTGCTGCCAGGGTCCCTGTCCCTGGGGACTTGGGGAGGGCACCACGCCTTCCATCCCGGGGTGACCCAGTGTCCTTTCCCTCGCCCGCTGGTTTGGCTGACCCCACCCCCCACACAGTGACCCTGAGTCCCTGCTCGTCAACCAAAGGTCCAACCTGGACCGCGAGTTGTCTGGATTCGAGGCCACGTAGGACCCCTGGTACGGTCCTGACGCCAGCACCTGCTGTCTTGGGTTCCAAACCCTGACAGTGAGAGGTGCCAGACCCACCACCATCCCCTGGCCTGTGCAGCACATGTTGGGGGGGAACAGTCCCTGTCTGTACAGCACAAGGGGGGGGCACAGTCCCTGGTCTGTGCAGCACATGGGGGGGCACAGTCCCTGGCTGATACAGCACACGGTGGGGGGGGCACAGGCTGGCTGTGGCTATTAGAAGTACTTTCAGTGTGTCCTGTGGGCTGAGGTGTGGCCTGAGGTTTGGGGGTGGCTTTGGTGCAGCCAGCATAGGTGGCTCCGCCTGTTGGGGGGGTCTTCTCCTTGCTTTTCTGTGTGAACGTGGCAGCTACCTTTCTCCTCTCCCCTCCCCACAGACCCCTTCTTAGAGCAGGTGCCAGGGAAAGGGGACCCCGGAACCTGGGAGGCCTGCTCCATCCCCTAGCCCCTCCTTGAGGGGTCCTCACTGTGAGGGCACTGGCGAGCGGTGGGGGGGGGGAGGACGGGGAGGGTGGGGGGTCCCTGGTGGGTGAGGTTGCAGGTAGTGCCTGGGGCCCTGTCTGCAGGAGATGGCAGTGGGGTTTGGTGGGGCATCACCTCGAGTGGCCCGGGGGAAGGCCATGGCCAGCACCCAGGTCAGCAGCAGCAGCAGCAGGACACCCACCAACACGCTTGTGATGCTGACGACCAGCCCCTGCACCTGGCCCGTGAGTCTGGGTGGGGGGCTGGGGCTCTCCGTGGGGGGCTCCAGGGTCCTCTCTGGAGGGGCAAAGGACAGAGACTCACTGAGGAGAGCCAGGGAGGAGGGGACCCAGCACCCTCCCCGGCCCTCTCTTCTGCCCTCCCCTGCCCTCCCCTGCCCTCCCCAGCCCTCCCCTGCCCTCTCCCCAGCCCCTGGGGCCTGGCTCCTGGTCCTGCACTGACCACCCTTGCCCAGGCTGCACTGCTGCTGAGCTTCCGAGCCTCACCCTGTCCTGACAAGTGCCACCTGCTGCCCCCGCTGAGACCCTGCTGTCTCTGAAGGACCAGTGGGTGTGTGGGTGCTTTGGGTACCCAGTGGGCCCAGGTGCGGGACGGAGCCGGAAGGGCAGCCCCCGGCGTCCCTGCCACTGCGCCCCACGTCCCCGGCCGGCTCCCCTGGCTGCCTGGGCTCCGCACCTTTCACAGTGAGCTCTGCACGCAGACTCTCATAGATCTGCGTGTTGGGGGGCAGGTAGATGGCCCCGCAGAGGTAGACGCCGCTGTCGTTGAGCCGGGCAGTGAGGATGGTCATGTGGAAGTCCTGCCCGCTGGGCAGCCGTGTGACGAGGAAGCGCCTGTCCTTGCCGGGCTGGGTGTGGTTCTCCTGGAAGGCGGCCAGCTTGTCCGTCTGGTTGCGGGGGCTCATGCGGTACCAGTTGAGCACGAAGCTCTCAGGTACGTCGGGGAGGCTGCAGACGAAGGTGGCGTTCTCTCCCTCGAGCACCGTGAGCTGGGCCGGCGAGAAGGTGAGGGGGCTCCAGGGCCTGTCAGGGGAGTCTGGGAGGTGGGGAGAGGACCAGGTGGTGAGGAGGGGGCCGGGGGGCAGCTCCTCCTCTTCCACCTCCACACACCCCAGCCCCCACCCCTCCCCTGCTGACTCGGGGCTACTGGTGTCCAAGGGCCCAACCCCCACGTTCTGAGCTCCGCTGGCCCATCGGGGGCCTGGCCTGGTCCTGTGTGCCCTGAGGGTGGAGGGGGTGGGTGTCTGAGATGCCGGGAGGGCCAGCGGGGGCTACTCCGAACACAGGAGGCTCAGGGTCCAGCCTTCGGTCGTCTCTGGACAAACTCAGAGCCGAGTGGGGCTCTGTGTCTTCTGCTGCGGCTCTGGGACTGGAGCTCGGAGGGAGGCCGGGCCGTCGCCCCCCACATGTACTGCCATGGAGGCGCCTGATGGTCCTGGGTCCTGGCCCACCCCCCACAAAAGCCCTTGCAGGAACCCCTGGCTGCTGAGGCACCGGCCCGGGGAAACCGCCATGCCCTGCACGGGCAGGCCGCACACACTTGTACTTACACTCACACTCTGACACGTCCGCAGTGCCTGCAGGAGTGCACGTGACCCCGTGTGCTCACAATGGAAGGGAGAAGCCCCTTCCATTGGGGCCCAGGCGGCACCCCAGCAGCACCCATACAGAGTCAAGGCCACACAGGGACCGGTCACAGGCTCCCGGGGTCCCAGAGATGGAGCCACGGCCAAATCCTCACGTGCTGGCCCCCCTTCCCTGGGGTCAGCTCACACAGGGAGGTGGCGCCAGGACCCAGTTACACATGGGGAGAGCACGGCTGGGAGGGAGGGCCCAGCCCCAGCCCCAGCCCCGGGTCTGCGGCCGCCTGCCCCGACCCCTGGCCCCCAGCTCACAGGCCCCTCCTGGCCCTCTGCCACCTGCTCCAGGCCTGCTTGCCTGGGAGGGAACAGGCAGACCCTGGGCGCTTCCCGGTGAGGTCGTTCCCTGGCCCACCCAGCATGTCCCCCACCTCTCGGCTCCCCAGATGCTGCGAGGACCAGAGATGCCAGTCCTGAGATGACACTGTGTGGCTGCCCCTCTGAACGGTTCTTGCCTGGCAGCAACAGGGACTCAGACCCTCAGCCAGGGTCCCTCCGCCTCTGGGGACGGGTGTCTGAGGCTGGGCTCCATGGCTGTGGCTCCGAGGAAGAAAGGGCTGGTCCCAGGACCAGGGGCCACCCAGCCCTGTCAGGGCACGTGTAACAAGAACTCTTCCGCACGTGCCCACTGGGTACCTCACGTGGGGCGAGATCACAGAGGTGCTGAGACCAGGGTGGGCCCTGATGTGCTTGCAGCATCCCGTGTGCCTACGGTCCCACTCAGGAGGGCGCACAAGGCACCCCCCATGTCCCTTTACACGGGAGCCCTGGGGCTTGGTGAGCTGGTGTCTCTCTTGGCCACTGATGGCAGGACAGGGCTGTCATGTGGCCATGAGGGTGGGTACCCTGTGTGTCAGGGCCAGGAGGTCCCCCAGTCTGGGGTCCCCTGGCCCCTGTGGAGGGGGGCTGGTGCACCTCTGAGGACCTGCAGAAGGCCTGTCCCACGGGCCAGGAGGGGGCCAGGCCTGGGGGGAGTGGCTGGTGTGGGCGGGGCCCCTCCTCTAGGGAGGCCTGCTGCCTGCTGGAGCCGGCCGTCTGCTCCTTGACCTGGCCCGGCTTCCCCAGGGGCGACGCAGCACCAGGGCTGCCCGCGACAAGCCCCTCTCCTGTCCTGACTATGCGTGCTCGCCATGCACGGCCAGCACGGGACGGCGGGACTTCTGATCGCGGCGGCGTCAATACACACTTGTCCAAGAGGCACGCGTCCATCCACGGAACACATTAGGGGGATGCGTACAGTGCAAGTAGAGCGAGATTCGGCGGGAGGCAGCCGCGGCATCTCAGCCTGGGCACCGAGACCGTGTGACCGTGCGGCCCACCCGGCTCCGTGTCTCCCCGGCTCCCGGCAGGGGCGTGCCTGCACCTGCCTCCCCGCTCTGTGGCCTCCCAGACCCACACCACCACCAAGGCCTCCGGACAGAGCCCTGCCCTGCCGGGACCACGGTGCCCGAGAAGGGGCCCTGGGGGGTCCACGTGGTGTGCCGGCTCCCCAAGGCAGCAAGCCCCCCAGGGCCCCTTCGAGGACTCTGGTTCAGGCCCTCATCTGCCCCACATCTGACCTGAACTTGTCACTGTTTGGGCCACTTGTCTGTTCATTGGCTCTTTGTGGGCCTCGCAGGGTCTGAACATGGCGAGGAGAGGACTCTGGGCTGCCCGGAGCCCTGTCCCCCCGGCCCGGCCTCCGCCAGCTCTCCACCTGGGAACCTCCCACTCCTCTGGGTGCTGCTGGCCTCATTGCTTCTCCTCTGCCTCCTTCCCAGGGCAGGCCCCCTCCCCCAGGCCTGCCCCACCCGCCCGTACCCTCACAGCAGCTGTGTGCCACCTGGCCTGTGGAAGGCGGGAGGGGCGGGCCTGTCGGCTGCTCCAGAGAGACCGCCCCCTTGTCACAGGGTGCATGACTGTCGAGGGCTCTGGTGGTTTGGCTGGTATGCGGGGCCACAGGGGAATCCCAGCCGGGTGCTCAGGGGCCTGTCCAGATGGAGAAAGATGGGCTCCCTGGAGCAGGAGCCGGGCAGCACCAGGGGAAGCAGGCCAGAGGGAGCATGGGTGACAGCCAGCTGGCACCTGGGAGTCAACCCAAACTCCGTCCAGAGAAGGGCCGAGAGTAGAGCTCACTTCTGAGTACGGTGGATGGGACACCCCTCTTTCCCAACGGTACCAACCTCTGCGAATCTTCTGTTTGAGCTTAAACACTAAAATGTTGTCTATTTGCTTTATATTGGATAATAAGATGTTTGGAGAGGGGAGAGAGCACTGTGGCCGGCAGGGTGGGGAGGCAGAGACCCCAGGCCGGGGCCCAGCATCGCGGGCCAGGCCGTGTGTCGGGCGCCCACAGAGGCTCACAGGCCACACGTTTCACACCCTCGGCTGGCACTGGGTTTAGGCAGGACCGCCTGTGGTGTTAGAAGTGTCACCTAGTGGGCCACCAGGGCTCCAGCCACCTCCTTAAGCTTCTTACTCGTCAGGACAGAGAGGGTGCCTTGGCCTCCTTGCTGTGGGGTCCCCGAAAGGCACTGCAAGGAGATACTAACTTGCCTGTGATCACCCACAAACAGGTGTCAGACGTACCCGGGGGGCACGTGCCTGAACCCCTGGTTTGGACCCTCACGGATGCCCCTTTCTGCCCTCAGCAAAAGTGAAAACAAACAAATGCGGCCTCTTCCAAGTAAAAAGCATCTGCACAGCAAAGAAAACCATCAACACAGTGGAAAGTCCATATGCAGGGTGGGAGAGAGTATTTGCAAATCACATATCTGATAATATCCCAAATATGTAAAAACTCATGTAATTCAAGAGCAACACCCCCAAACAATCCAATTAAAAAAGTGGGCAGAAGACCTAAACAGACGCTTTTCCGTAAAAGATACAGAGACATCACAGACACATGAAAAGATACTCCGCGTCACTCAGCGTCAGGGAAACACAAATCTAAACTCGATGAGACACCACCTCCCACCTGTCAGAGTGGCTAAAATTAACAACCCAGGAAACAGGAGCTGGTGAGGATGCTGAGCAGGAGGAAGGCTTCTGCACTGTTGCTGGGAGTGCACACTGGTGCAGCCACCCTGGGGGACAGTGTGGAGGGGCCTCAAGAAACTAAAAATAGAACTACCCTACGACCCAGGAATTCCTCTTCTCTGTTCCACAGAGAACAAAAAGGCTCCTTTAAAAAGATCTGCGCGCCTCTCCACCAGCGGCCCGAGTATGGAAGCAGCCCGCGGACGACGGATAAGGAAGGTGTGCAGCGTTCGCAGCGAGTGTTGCTCAGCAGTAAAGAACGAAACGTCGCCATTTGTGACCACGTGGATAAGCTGGAGAGTGTGAGGCTACGGGAAAGAGTCGGAGAAAGCAAACACCGTAGGACATTGTTTGCGTGTGGGATCTAAAAACAGAAAGCAAAATAAAACAAAACCCGAGCTCACTGACGTGGGGAACCGATTGGTGGCTGCCCGAGACGGGGAGGGATGTGCTGGCAAATTGGGTGAAGGGGGTCAACAAGCAGAAACTCGCAGTCCCAGAAGGAGCGGGTCAGGGCGCTGAGCTGCGTGGCACGGTGGCGATTGGCACTGCCGGGTCGCACGTGCGCAGGAGCTCCGGGAGTGAATGGGAAGTTCTCGTCACAAGAGAAGCACTTTGTGACCGTGTGTGGGGACAGATGCTGGTGGACGCATCGAGGCTGTTGTCTTACGGTATATACAGGCCACGGATCATTTCATTGTGCACCTGAACTTAATATGATGCGATCATCGTACCTCAGTAAAATATTCCTAATTCTAAGGCTTTCCATATCTAAAATAAAATCGAGATTTGATACACACACACCACACACACACACACACACACACACACACACACACACACACGGCAAGGCAGCGCTGGCAGGGCAGAGGGAGCTGGGCCCCGAGTCAGAAGAAGCCGAGGGTAGAGACAGCGCTGCCACCAGGGCTGGGCTGGGGTGCAGGCGCATCTGGGCTGCGGTCAGAGCTACCCTCCCGGGAGAAGCCAGACATCTCAGAGAGCGCCGTGGGCTCAACTGTGCCCCCCAGGGCGTGTGTTGAAGTCCTCGTCCTCAGCACTGCAGAATGTGACCTTATTTGGAAATAGGTCATTATAGATGTAATTAATTAAGATAACTGGAGCCCATGAGTCCCTCCTCCAACATGACTGGTGTCCTTCTAAGAAGGGGGACGTTTGGACACGAACACACAGGGACAGCTCCCTGTGAAGCTGGAGTGGAGACGAGGTGATGTGCCCACAAGCTAAGAAACCCCAAGGACTTCCAGCAAACCCCAGAAGCCGGGGAAGCCAGAGATGGACTCTCCCTCACGCTCAGAGGGGACTGGCCCTGCTCACACCTACTCTGGGACCCGCAGCCCCAGGGGTGCCAGGCAATAACTGGCAGTGCCCTGGGGTTGGTTGTTTCGGTTCAGCCGGCCTAGCAAATTAACACAGAAGCAAATGTGCCAATATTGTCAGCTGGTGACTCTGGGTAAAGGGTGTCTGCTGCCCGTGCTTTTGTGGCTTTGCTGTCTGTTTCAGACATTTCTCAAAATTGTAAGTGGAAAAATAAATAAGAGGGGCACCTGGGGGGCTCAGTGGGTTAAGCATCCGACTTCAGCTCAGGTCATGATCTCACGGTTTATGGGTTTGAGCCCCGCGTCGGGCTCTGTGCTGACAGCTCAGAGCCTGGAGTCTGTTTCGGATTCTGTGTCTCCCTCTCTTTCTGACCCTCCCCTGCTCACTCTCTCTCTCTCAGAAATAAATAAAACATTAAAAAATTAAAAAAAAATAAATAAGAGAAATCTGGCATCAAAAGGCACTATCATGGGCTGTGCCGGACAGTTTGCATCAACGATCTGATTCAGTTCTCGCCCCCAGCGGCGGGTGCCTCGTCCATGATACTGGCTGGAGCCTGCCGCTCACAGCCTGCGCCTTCCTCACCACCACCCCCCAACCCCATCCACTAGGCCAGGGCTCAGCCAACTGCTGGGTTTGGGATATTTCATCAAATGCACATGAAGAGCTGGGGAGTGGGGTGGACACACACGGGAATGACTGAAGCGATAAACAGCGGATAAACCAGGGAGGGAAAGAGACGGCGTGGAAGCAAAGGGCCCTGCAGCCAGGAGTGCCGGAGTCGGCTGGGAGAGCTGGGGGGCGCCTGGCCCGCGGTTCCGTCAGTGTGGGGTGCTCAGCGCCGACGCAGGGAGACCGAGGCAGCTGGGCTGCGTTCTATCCTCTGGGGAGGGGTCCCGGGGGAAGCTGGCCACCAGGGCTGAGTCGTGGCCTGACTACACTTTCTTCCCCTGCCTGCTGGGATGACACCCGCCCCTCGGCCCCTGTTCCCCAGGCTCCCCGAAAGCCCCCACGGGGCACCTTTTGGCCATAGGCCCTTGGACCACCAGCCTCAGCTCTGAGTTCGCTCCGCTGATCCTGAGAGCCAGGCCAGCAGAGGAGGAAATGCAGGGTGACTCCTGCATTGCCAAGCAGTCCCCGGAGGGGCATCAGCACTCTAGGATGGGCAGCCCCGGGAGCCCTGGGGGCCGTCACACCTCTGAGCCCAGTGAGGCCCAGAGGAAAGGCTCCTTCCTTGGAGGACGAGGGCAGCCGGGCCCCCCTCCCCGACCAGCAGGCTCTGACTGGGGCCCGCAGGGCCTGCCCCACAGACAACCCCCGCGAGGGGGCCGGGGGCCAGGGCCTCCTTGACAGAGCGCCGCAGACGCCCCCCAGCCGTGCCCACGAGCTGCACACCCAAGGATTTCGTCCAGAGACTCCAGGTCATGGCAGGGGGCTGGAGAGGTGAGCAGTCTTCACCTGGACGGTCACACCTCGGATAGAATTAGAGAAGTGTCCCTGGGCCGTCCAGCCGGGGACCTCACAGGGAGAGTCCTTCCCCTGGGAGGCTGGTCCCACCCCCAGGAGAACACGAGGCAGCCGGGCTGAGGACTGGGTCTCTGGGCGGCCCAGTCTATCATCCTACACAGAGGGGCCGGCCCGGCCGCCCCACATCCCATGGGACTCCCAGGAAGAGCTGGGACGTTCCTGCCTGCTTACAGGCGAGGATCAGACTCACCACCAGGTGAGGCGGGCAGGGAAGGAGCTGGAGCCCAGAGAGGGCCCTTCACCTGCCCAAAGCCACACAGCACCCAGGCCAGGGCCAGTGCTGGGCCTCTGGGGCCTGGCCCCACCACAGCCCCCTCCTCATCTGCCTGAAGGGCAGGAGCGTTTTCCCCCTGACCCCGCGTCACCTGACCCTGACCCACGTACCTAGGAGCCATCCTGGCCACCAGCCCAGCTGCAGCACGGCCCAGACGAGAGGCCAGGGTGCCCGTGGGGTCCCCATGGCCGGAGTGGCAGCCGCCTGGCTGGGTAATCTCTTCCTCCACGGCTCTGGTAGAGGTGTCAGCGGAAAGGAAACTGTCCCAGGTTAGGAGGAGGGACCCGCCCCAACCCTGCCCCCTCTTCCTCCTCCTCCACGTGGGTGGAGATTGGAGGGGAGCCTGAGAGCGAGAAGGACAGAGAGACAGAGACCAAGGAGGGGGCGGGAGAGGGAGATGGGGGGAGAGATAGAAATGAGAGGGCAGAGACACAGCTGCGGAGGCACAGAAATAAAGGAAGAGAGAGGCTGACGGAGGAGGCGGCCCCCTGCCCCCCCTCTCCCCGCGTGGGGTCTCCTCCGAGCACCAGCTTTTGTCCCTTTGTTCGTTGTTGCTCCTTCCGCTGAGGCTGCTGAGGCTGTAGGGCCCTGTGTCCTCCCTCCCCCGGCCGGTTGTCTGGGCTCAGTCCGGCTCTGCAGTGAAGGGTGGGGTCAGCCCCAGGCGCACCTTGTTTCCTCCTGAGTTGGACCCACCATATTTTGCCACTGCTGCGGGGGGGGGGGGGGGGGGGGGGGGGGGGGGGGGGGGGGGGGGGGGGGGGGGGGGGGGGGGGGGGGGGGGGGGGGGGGGCAGGGGACAGGGGGAGGGAGCAGGGGGAGGGGCAGGGGCAGGGTTTAGGGGCAGGGGGAGAGGTGAGGGGCAGGGGGTTAGGGCAGGGGGTAGGGGAGAGGCAGGGGTCAGGGGTCAGGGTTAGGGGAAGGGTTTAGGGGCAGGGGCTCCCTCGGCCAAGGGCTCACCCCTTCCCCCGGGCTGCAAGGCCACCTCACCAGGGCAGCCGAGGGTCCGCAGGATCCCACCTGAGATGCCTCCCCTCCAGTCCTGGGTCAGGGACTGGGGTCTCCCCTGCCCGGGTTTGCCCCCCGGCCTGGGGCCACACGCCCAGCTTCAGGGGCTGCAGCCAGGCAGGGTCCAGGGTCCTTCCGCAGCGGCCCTGGGGTCATCTACCCCTCAGTGTCTTGAGGACACCCAGTACTGGGGACTCAGCCTGTAACACAGCCCCCCTGGGGGGCAGGTGGTCCTGGGGGCCCAGGGACGTGGGGTCTGGAAGTGTGTCTGCTGGTTTCCTGGCCTGTGCTCTCATGTTGGCCGGTGACGAGTGGGGCGCGGGAACGGAAACTGCTGACTCGGCGGCGGGGTGCGTGGGTCTCGCAGCGGAGTGACAAGGCAGGGGCCGCCTGGCAGCTGCGGCCGCTCCAGCGGCGCAAAGGCTCGCGGGGAAGGGAAGGCATTAAAGACACTGGCGGTGGAAAAAGAGCATCAGAGACGTGTCTGCAGGCGTTGGCAGCAGAGGAGGCTTCGGGGCTGAACAAAGGGCCACTCCCAGAGCCGCGGAGGCGGTGTGGCGGGCGGGGCCCTGCTGGCCAGGCTGGGCGCGAGGCTTGTGGCCCGCCGGAAGCTGCCAGATGGTTTAGGAGCTGGCCTGGGGGACACCCCTCGTGGGCACCCTTCGTGGGCAGGGGTCACCCTGCACACCTGCCTCGTGGCCTCCCCTCAGATGGCAGACATTCGGCCGGGGGCCGGGGACATGGGTCAGGTCAGGTTAAAGGCGGCCAGGCACCCAGCAAGGCTCCGGCCCTGTGGGCGGCTGTCCTGAGCCTCGCGCTGGGGGACATGATGCCCCGTGGGGCCTGGGGCTGGGGGGCCTGCCTGGTGGGGCGTTCTGGGGGGTTGCCCCTGGGGAGCCCCCTGCACCCCGCCACATGGGCTGTCATTCCAGCTGGAGGAACTTGGTTGCACGTCTAGAGCAGGCCGCCAGAGCACGTAGGGGTGCATGGTGCCCCTCCTTGCCCTGCACCCTCTGTCCCCTCTCCGTCGCCTCCTTCCTCCTCCCTTCTAGCCTCCTACCCCTCCTTCCCACGGCTGGGGGTGCTGTGTGCAGGGCCCACCGGACAGGCTGAGGGGGGCACTTGGACCCTGGGGGGACTGGGTCGGCAGGGGCGATATGGAGGCAGAGGGGGACACAGAGACTGTGAAGGCCCGGAGGAGGGGGTGGCCAGCCCAGGGGAGCCAGCGGAGGAGGCTGGGACAGGTGGCGGAGGGGACTGTTGGGGTGCTGTAGTCCCAAGGGGAGCTCCCCCCACCTGTCAGCACACTCTCCCCCAACACGTGCTGTCCCCCCAAACACACTGTCCCTGTCACACACAATATCCCCGTCATACACACCCCATCACGGTGTCCCTGTTACACACCCTGTTCCCGTCACACAGTGTCCCAGTCACAGTGTCCCCATCATACATAGTGTCTCCTTCACATACACTGTCCCTCTCACACACACTGTCCCTGTACACACAGTGTCCCCATCACACACACTGTCACCCTCACACACAGTGTCCCCGTCACAGTGTTCCTGTCATATACTGTCCCTGTCACAGTGTCCCTGTGACACACAGTGTCCCCTTCCTTCACCATCTTTCATTAGGGACAGGACAGGCTCCCTGGCTGGCGGGAAGGGGAAGGTCAGGGTCTCCATCTCTCCCCTTCCGGCGTCCCCTGCTGGCTGGCCTTCCTCTCCCTGCCCGGTGTCCCTTCAGGTTTGGGAAGTCCCAGCCGGGTCCCAGGCGGGGCTGCCAGCTCCCTTCCCCCACCTCCGGACCCTCTCCAGTAGGCAGGCATCAGGGACGACCCAGGACCCCCAGGTCAGAGGTGTCCAGGGAAGAGGGGGCTCTGTGTGGTCACTGGGTGATCTAGATTCTCTTGCCGGCGCTGCGTATGTGGCTTGGGCTGTCCTGAGGATGACATTTTGCACAAGTACCGTGTGTTGTCACACCCAGGATGCTGACACGGTGCAGCTTACTCGTGGGGCGATCCTGTGTGTGGTGGGCAGTGCTGCACTGCAGCCGAGGGACAGCCGTCACCCTGCACTCAGAGAGTGGGGGTGGGTCTGGGGTGTGGCCCGCTGGGACGGGCTCCACGTGGCAGGACCCGTCCGCATCCCTGTGCGTGCGTGTCTCACACCCGCCGCACTGTTCGGCCCTTCCCTGAGGAGGACGTGGCCTGTGCTGGGAGACCGCCAGGCTCCGTCCCGCACGGGCTGCCCACCGCGGGTCTGGGCACCGCGTGCCCACTGCCCTGCGGCTGCTCCTGCCCCACTGCCGCCGTGTGCTTCAGGGTCTGGTTCTGGGGGTGCCCCCCACCCTGTGAGGAGAGGGGCTCTAGTTTCCAAGGTGCCCAGCGGTGACACCAAGCATGTGCGGGCGGGCGGGGAGCCGGAACAGGAGCCAGCACGGTGGAAAGTGGGGGAGAGGGGATCCCCCCGCACTTTCCCGAGCCAGCGGCCCGGTCACAGGGAGGTTTCCATTTATGGTAAAACACAGGAAGAAGGATCATCCCGAAACCGCCTGTGAAGGAGGCTGGGGTGATGTCACCCAGCCTGGACGCAGGGCAGATTCACCACGACCTCTGAGGTTGGAACAGGAAATGGTTAATAGTGTTTGCAAATAAAAACTTTCTGTTCTATCCTGTTGTTGAAGCATTTCCCAGAAGTTAAAAAAGAGCACCTAATTTAGTTGCGCAATTTAAAAAAACCAAATTTTAAAAATTTGAATACAATACTACACCATTTACTACACTCAAGGATAAAGGGAGCCAGATGTTGGTTAAGGGAGCAGGGTCCCTAGAGATTTCCAAGTCCCCTTAACTTTCTCAACTTTCTAGAATGCTGTTCATTGTTTGAACGTGAACTTGTATCATACATTTCCAAATGTGCTTGTGTGTGTGTGTGTGTGTTGGTTCATGTGCAGCTGTGTGTGGTGTGTGCTCGCACACGTGTGTGATACATGTGTCATGTGCACACGTCCCTGGCCTCTGTCGGTGGGCCCTGCTCAGGCTCCTTGCTGGCTGCCCACACCGTGGACGTGGACAAGGAAGGGGCCCCCTCCCCCACCCTGCAGGCACCTGCCTCTTTCAATGGAGAAATGAAACCTGCTACTGTTTGAGGAAATCGCACTGTCAAACCAAACTAACAAGCCAGTTATTTTGTTTTCTTCACAAAATCACCATATGGCCGATTGGTTTTGGCAAATGCGCTCATAGCAAAGATGTCTGTGGCCAACGTGCCAGCCACATGGTGCGCGGCCTCGTTGGCTCCCATGCCCCTGGTCTGCCCCTTCATTGCCTGGTGTTAGTCTTTGCTCCTTGCAGGCCCCTGCCTGGCAGCAGCTGGGTGGACCCCAGAGCGAGAAACTTGGGGAGCGCTGGGAAGAGCCCGTCGGGGCAGACGCTGCCCCCTGCCTGCAGCCCAGGACGCCCGCCTGCCTGCGTGCCTGGGGCTGGGGGCTGTGCCGGCGTCCGAGTCTCTGGAGCTGTACGACTTCTGCTGAGGTTCAGAGGAAGGCAGGGCGAGCCCAGCGGGCTCACTGCCACCCGACCGTCTCTCAGCCCCTCTCCTCCCAGACACACAAGGTGGGGCCTGCCGATAGAGCAGCGTCCAGTCGGCCGGCTGGCCTCCAGCTCAGACTCCTTTGCAGTGCTGTCCCATCCCAAAACTGGTGCTTCTCTGGTCCAGCATCGCAGTGAGTGGCTTTGGGGGGACCCTGCCCAGGCTATGCCCAGGCCAAGAGTGGGCAGATGTTCTGAGCTCTGAGATCCACCCCCTCAGGGCTCCCTGGAAGTCTGCTTTCAGACACGCCACCTGGGGGCCACCCCTGCCTTCCAGCCACCCTCTCCGAAAGCTGAAGGAGATGAGTGCCAGGCAGGTGGGTGTGAGCCAGAAAGAGAGGGTCCGTGGGGGAGAGGGGTGCACTGTCTCTGTCAGGCAGGGGCAGCAGCGTGGAAATGGTACCTGGTCGCCCCGGACAACACCCTCCCATCCTGGAGTCCTCGATGCCTCGGGGGTGGGGCCAGGCACAGAACAGCGGGCTCCGGGCAGAGGGTGGGGCAGGGGCCTCCTAGAGCCTGTCCTTGGAGGGACCCGTGTCCACGCAGGGGTGCGGGCCGGCCTCAGGGTCACGGCCCACCCCTCAGGAGTCATCAATGTGCACACACTCCATCTTACCCATCACCCCTCTGCTAAAGAAGGGGGGTGTTTATGGCCAACTAGCTCCTTAGCTGCTGTGTGAGCAGCTTCTTCAGAGAGCTCAGTTCGTGGGTTTGGGGGGACAGATAACCAGGTATGTGGAGGTGGTTTCCCTGGGGTGGCCGCTGAGGCCATTTGAGCAGGTTTAAGGAAGAAGTTTAGGGAAGTTTCTTAACCATAAAGATTATTTTTGAGTTGTAGTGGTCAGTCATGATACTGAAACTTTTCCCTGAACTCAGGCAGGTTGTAGTCTCTGGAGGTGAGGAAGCTGTGGCCGGCTCTGTGCCCAGATAGTACAGAGTAGTCAGGGCCGCTGGGCCCGCACGGGCCCCGTGCAGAGGAAAAGCGCTGTGGGGACCAGGGCTACAGCCATCCTCTCGAACCTGTGCAGAACGTGGCCGGGACCCATGTGCCCACCTGCACACAGTGCAGCCCCAGCTGCATGTCAGTTAGAATTGCTGAGATTATCTGCGTGATAACCAAGAAAGCCCAGAAACCAGCGCCCTAAGATAACAGTGGCATCTGGGCATGAACTTCTGCCGTGAATGATAAATCCAGAGGCCGGCAGCCCTGAAGTGACATGGTGACAGCAACTGTCAGATCCAGAGTGCTCCCTTTCTGCTTCTTCCGCACATGGCTCCATCGGAAAGTCACCTCATGGTCTAGGGGGGCTGCAGGAGTGCTGGTCATCATCTCTGAATCGATGAAGAGACGCCGGGGACGGTGGGAACGTGGGAGTAGGTCTTCCCCCAGCTAACTGGTCCTGTATTACGGAGCCTTCCCAGAAGTGTGTCCCAATAATTTCCTTGCCTTTGCTGCAAGGAGAAATGCAAAATACAATACAGACATCAACTATTGAGAAGCTGTTGAGAAGGGAGAAACTTGTTCTGTGCACAGGTCAGGGAAACACAGAGTTCAGGCCACCACAAGGCATGAGGCTTACTCTACCCTCTGAGGGTGTTGGCTCAAGTCACACGGTGGGGCTTCTCGGGCCACCCACAATGCAACGGGACCAGAGGGCAGCATCGGAACTCCGAGGGCTGGGAAGGGAGGGTTGAAACGGCACACTCACAGTGGGGGCGGAGAGCAGGGACCAGCGAGAGGCTGGCGGTCCGAGTCGGGGAGGCCCAGGGACCGGGGACAGGCTGGTGGGAAAGGCCCACGGAGCCTGCTCACCGAAGGGGCAGAAGTGGTCCTGAGGATGGATGTCTGGCTGGTGCTGTGACCCTCATCTGGGGGCCACAGCGCACACAGCACGTCCGTGTGCACGAAGGCGGCTTGGATGGGTGATGCTCCCATCTGCCCGGGCAGAGGGTGGAGGCCCAGACACACGCGCACAGTGCGTGTCCCGCAGGCGCCCCGTGACAGAAAGCTCAAAGTGGCCCAAGGAAACGTCTCAGGTGGCAGAGCCGCACAGGGTCCCCAGCCTGGCTGGCCGAGCCTCTGCGGGAGGAGCGTGCGTAGAGTTTGGGAGGTGCCACGCTAGGTTTTATAACAGCTTGTGAAGCATTACATTTCAGCCATTTTTTACCTACATGTTTTACGTTTCTAGCCAGTAAAAGTTTGAAAAAAGAAACCATGGGAAAATTTACAACGATACATGTTCCATAAAGTTCCTCACAGCCTTGCTTCTGATGGCAAAGAATGAGCCCAGGCAGGGTGGGGCCGGGGCTCGCAGTCGGAGCGCAACCACGAGAGTCCTGCGTTTACACCAGGAGGAGTATGGACCGCCGGCTGCCATATGTCGTGGAGTAAAGAGGCCATGCCGCTCGATGATATGTTTAGTATGATTTCCTGTTCATGAAAAATAGATATGAAAATTGACACATGTGTGCGCATGGACACGCGTGAGCATCAGCACCACAGGGATGATGTACGATTTCATTGTGTTGTGTTTTTTCCCGTTTATCTGTCTGTTTCTAGTTTTTTCTGAAATGAAAATTTATTGCTGCGTAATAAAAAATGTTCAAGAGGACAAGAAAAAAGGCCTGTTTCTCATTCCTCAGACACAGACCCGGTTGCCATGGAGACTGGCCGGCTGTCAGGACAGCGATTGGCTGGTGAGGGTGCGGGCTGTGGGCTCCCGGGGCTTCCTCGGAGCGTGAGCCGGCAGACTGCACTGCGGAGCCTGGCGCCAGCATGGAGGGGGTGGACGTGTGGGCCAGCACCTTGGCCCAGCTGATGGCCAAGAGGAAACCCCAGGACACCTGGGAGCTGCTGCCTGAGGAGAACCTGGCGTCGGGGCACATGGAGAGCGGTGGTTTTCAGTACCGGCTAAGGGGGCTTTCCAGGTGCGCTGAGGGCGGGGTTTCCTGCGGGTGCTGGGGGGTAAAGGGCAGAAGCGGTGTAGGCATCGCCCTTGGTCGGCTGTGAGTCCAGAGGCTGGGCCGGCTGCGGCCCTGGCCCTGTGGGCAGGGGAGAGGGGCACGCATCCAGCCTGCTCTTGGCCCCAACAGGTAGGTGCGTCCAGAGCACGTCCTCCCTTCCAGGCAGTGGGGGTGCTGGGGGACAGCCTCTGTTCCGTCACTTTCAGTGCCGGCATGCTGGGCAGTCCTGGCCACCCCAGTCGGGGCCCTGCAGATGGGGGTGATGCTGGTGGTGTGACGCGGCCACCTACGCGTGGAAGGCATATTTGGTCACTGCAGCGTCTCCTGGTTTCCACGGCAGCACTGATAGGTGGCTGTGGTCACACCTCTCCCTGCAAAGGGGCCTGAAAGATAGGAGACGGAGTCGTGGCCATGACCGAAGGGGCCGAGGTGGGGGGGCTGTGTCCGGCCAGGGCTGCGGACCAAGCAGGGGCCAGGCCGGGAGCCCAGTGTTGTGGGGGTCAGGGTGCCAACCCCACTCCTTGTCATGATGATGGCAGTGGGGATGGGCCAGGCCTGCAGGGACAGGGTTCAGTGGGAGAGGGGGCTTCTCAGCTCACCAGTGGGACTCTGTGGCCAGCCACGCTTTGACACAGCATCTGGAAGCCCTGGGGCCAGGTGTCTGGTGGCCAGCTGGCTCTCTATGGTGTTGGACATTACTGTCCCATGGCCACGCGGAAGACGCCTTCAACTGGTGGTTGAGGGTCACAAACACCATTTAGTTGGTTTTCAGCTTCCGTGCAGAGATACCAGCATGGTCACATAGCACAGCCCCACATCCTACAGCATAGCAGCGCTGGCCACATGCCCTTGACGTGCATGATGATTCCACTGAAATGAAGTTGGAAGTGTGGGTGCTCCCCAGCCACCTGTGGCTGTGGGCTGCCGTGGCCCGTGCTCACGTAGCCCATCCTCACCAGTGACTGCGCTGCCTGGGAGATGCTCTGTGTGTGGTCACTCGTCGGGGACCTGAGGATCTGGGAGAGGGGGCCCACCTGCCTGGCCCTGGGGCATGTGGCCGGAGAGACCCCAGACCAGCACCTTCCTCAGCCCCAGGAGGGCTCGTGCCCAGCTTTCCTGATCATGTGTTTAGAGCCAGACTGGACCAGCCCAAGGGGCTCCCTCCCTGTCCTGCTGGGAGCCCCCAGCCCCTCCCAGCTCTCCAGAGATCCCCCCCACCCTGACTTTATTTCCTTGTCACCTCCTCTCCTCTGGGATGGGGCTCTTCCCTTCAAGGCCTCCCCACATTTCTATACACAGCTGAGCCAGAGCAGATGCTCCCCCTCACCACCACCAGGTGCCAAGAAGGGTACTCCCTCCACCCCCACCGGGTGCCCACAGGGCTGCTCCCCCCACCCCCACCGGGTGCCCACAGGGCTGCTCCCCCACCCCCACCGGGTGCCCACAGGGCTGCTCCCCCCACCCCCACCGGGTGCCCACAGGGCTGCTTTGCTCCTGGTGACATGTCCTCAGGGCAGCTGAGCCTGAGTCTGCAGCTGAGCCTGAGTCTGACACAGAAACGCAGCAGAACAGGGAACGCAGCTCAGGGCTGTCAGGCTGGGCTCCACCCCTGAGCCGGTGTTTAGTTTTCAGGCCAGACTGATGGAAAGAAGTCTGCTTTTTGGCTTTTCAGAGTATGGGCTGCAGGCAAGGGGTGGGCGCCGCCTGGTGTCCCTTCACAGAAGGGGCTCAGGGCGTGTCCCTGTCCTGCAGGCTCCAGTGCGGCCGCTGCCAGTGGGGCTGGTCCTCGGCTCACGTGCACATCCTCTTCCACGTGTGGTTCGACGAGGCCAGCCGGCTGGGGCTGGTGAAGATGCGGCTCTGGGGCCAGCGCTGCAGGCTGTGTCCGCCCGGCTCGCAGGGGGCCTGCCAGGCGAGTCTCCTCAACGTCCGGCTCTTCCTCAACAAGCTAGTCCTGTTCATCCTGCAGAAGTGCTACGGGGAGAGCGTCAGCGCAGACCAGTGCCCCGAGATCTGCTTCGGCGAGCGCTGTGAGGCCTGTGACCTGGGGGTTTGCTTCTTCCAGAAGCCCCCGGACCCAGCCTGGGGCCCCGAGGTCAAGAGCCCCAGCACCATCAAGGGCAGGTACACCTTGTACGGGGGTGAGGGTCTGGCCACCGCGGCCGCCGGCCGGCAGCTGCTCACCCTTGGCAGCGGGCCGGTGGTGGACCGCGCCCGGGGCTACACCCCCAACTCCATCAGCATCCCCCTCTCCGTGTCCGACTTCATCAGGAACCCCATTTCCGAGAGCAGCAACTTCTTCAACCAAGATGATGACATAGTCACAGTCCCTTTCTCCCTTGTGGATGCGGGAGGGGACAGGGGGCCCGGCGCTGATGCCAAGGGTGGTGTTGGCCCCCGGGGGGGCCCCCTCCCAGAGGCAGACCCCCGTGGGCCGCTTGTCATTGGCAAGGGCTCCATCCACCTGCCCACCAGTCCCACCTCCACGCCCAAGGGCAGAGGCCTCCCGGTGAGCATCAGGTGCCCCGTCTTCCACGGCCGCGGCCTCCTCCTCAACAGCACCAAGCCCTTCCAGCTCAAAGGCTTCATCTTCAAAGGCCGGGGCTCCATCCCCCGCCCCACTGACACCAACCTGGGCCAGGGCGCCGGCCCCTGCAACAGCGGCCCCCGCGCGGCTGGGCGCAGCCCGACGCCGGTGTCCTACATCATCGGCCTCACGGATGACGGAGAGGGCTCCGTCACCTTCCCCACGTCTTTGGCCGACATCATCATACAGGAGGACTCCTTCCCCTTCATCGACGGCTCTGTCACCTTCCCCTTCATCTTTACTGACGAAGGCAAAGGCAAGGGTGCTTCCACCAGCATCACCCGAGGCAAAGAGAAGGAGGGCGGGGGCCACGGTCCCGCTGTCGCAGGCCGGGAGCCCCTGCAGGGGCCCCATGCCCGCAAGCCTGTCACCATCAGCGAGGGCTCCGTCACCATCCCCTTCTCCGTCTTCAACATCATAAAGCACTTGGTCTCTGGCTCCGGCTCAGGCGCCTCCCCGAGGAGTGGCCTGGCCCCCCGCGGCCCGCACCAGAAGAGGAGGCGGCCGCCGGCCAGGCTGGGCAAGCCCTGCTCCGAGCCCGGCTGGGAGGAGGACCCGTGCTGTGAGGACAGCTGCTGCAGGCCCCGCTTCGACCCCTACGAGGAAGTGTGGATCTGGGTGTCCATGACCGTCTGCATCCTGTGGATTATGTACCTGTACAAGTTCAGCCCCTGACGGCCAGGGTGAGGCCGACAACCCCCCTCGGCTCCCCCCCGCCCCCGTGCTCCTCCAGCAGGGCCACCCAGGGCCGCAGAGCAACGGGACCCCTGCCCGCACCCCCAGGCTCCTGACCCCCACCCTGCCCTCCCTGAGCCAAGGCCTCTGAGGGCTGTCCGCACTCTCCCCTCCGCTTCACGCTTCTGTGTGTGTTCTGTCCTTGACATGAGTCGTGGCTTCGTGGATGTCCACACCATGATTGTCTGCCAAGCTGCCCACATGTGCTCTAGGCGCTTGTCTGTGTGAGTGTTACAATCCAATAAAATAAAAGTTAAAAGGAAAACCCCCCACACTGCTCGTGGCTCCGTGGGAGCCAGCACCCAGGAGTGGGTTTCGAGGCGGGAGGGTTTGGTGGGCACGCCCCTGCAGGGGCCAGGTGGGGCCCAGCACCTTCTCCCCTGACGGCTTTGGGACTCCTGGCCAGGTGTGCTGGGGCGGGTCACCCACACCAGTCCACCCCCTGGGCACAGGGCCGTGGCCGCGCACAAGCCAAGTTCCTGTGTGGACCCCCGGGACTCTGCCAGAGCGGGTCACCTGCCACACTCCCCCCGCTCTGGGGAAAGACGAAAGTCCCCTTGAGCTGTGGCTGGTGATCCCCCAGAAGGCATCTGTACTGAAGGTGCCCCCTGCCCCGCCCCCTGCCCCAGCACCCTGTACATGACGGCACTGCTGTGGTGGGAGAAGGGCTGTCCCCACCAGAACCCCCGCCAGCCACACTCTGGATTCCCATCTTCAGGCCACAGGCCCGCGTCTAAGGGGCAGGGGCATTGGGCTGTGAGGTCCCCAGCCAGGTGGCGGCGTGAGCACCGTGCCAGGCCCCCATGCCATCCTTCTCTAGGCAGGGCCCAGGGCCCCAGGAGGTTGGGGGGTTGTCTACAGTTCTGAGACTTGGGAAGCCGGGGATGAGAGGGTCTGGGGAAGCCTTGCCTTGTGTGTGTGGGATGAGTGTATGGAAACCTTGGTCCAGGGCTCTGCCCAGTTGCCCTCTGGCCAGACCCGGATCCCACAGGTGTGTGTGTGGGGAGGCACAGGGAGAGGGGGCGCTCCTGCACCGACACTGTTGGCTGGGATGGAAGATGTGCAGGTGAGGCTTCAAATACCAGCAAGCCTGGAAGGTTCCACGCTGCACTGAAGGCCAAGCCTGTATAGGACACTAGGTCTGCAGCCGTCAGCCAGCCTGAACAGGAGCCAGGGCAGACCGAAACACAGACCCTCCAAGTCCCTGTCTACACCGGGTGAGACCCTCACTGGAAGGGCAGGACCCAGCTCAGGGTGCTGTCTACACCAGGAGAGAGTGTCCCATCTACACTGGGTGTGCAGACCTGCCTGGGTATCTGATTAGGGAGGCCCGCCACCGGCCAGCTCCCTGTCCTGTCCCCACACAGGAGTCCTTGACCAGCTCCCTGGCCTCCTTGGAAATGGGTGTTTGGGGGGTAGCAGTGCCCACGTGGGGCCTGCAGCTGGACTTTCTCCAGGGACATTCTGTCCACAGTCTCGGGGGCCCCAGGGCCGGATGAGACCCTGTCCCGGTCAGCGTCCCTTCGGGACAGCTGCTGGAAACCCTCCTGCCCCACTAGTGTGGTGGTGGGGAGCCCCGGTGTGGCATCTCTCAGCTCAGGGACCCTGCCCACCAGGGCCGCCCTGGGGGGGAGCTTAACTTCTGACTGGGGTCTCTTCTGACTGAGGGATGGAAGCCAGTCCCGCCCCATCCCACCAAGGGAGCCCTGGTGGGGGTAAGGAGGTGAGGGTCTGCCTGCGCTGGGCCCTCTCCATCCCCGCCCCCTTCTCCAGCTCTGAGACCCTTCCTCCAGCCCCCAGGCCCTAGGATGCCCCTAACCCCTCCCCATTCTCCAGCCCCCATCTTTTCCAGACCTGGCCCCTTCTCCAGCCCCTGACCCTTAAACCGGACCCGCCCCCAGCCCCCCCCCAGCCCGTCCCCTCCTCCAGCCCCTGACCCCTTCTCCCAGTGCCCCTGGCTCTCCTCCAGCCCCTAGTTCCCAAGATGGATTCGTTCAGTTCCCCCCTCTCGATTCCCCGCCTCCTCCCCAGCCTTCCCCCCGCCCTCCCCGCCTCCCCCTCCCCGCCTCCAGCTCTACCCCCTAGTCCCGCCCATTCCTTCAGACCCAGGCCACTGCTTCCAGCCCGCAACGCCTTTTCCAACCTCCGCCCCTTCCGACCTTCCCCAGCCCCTCCTCCAGCCCAGGGGCCCCCACCCCCCGCCCCCTCCCCTTCTCCGGCCCCGCCTCCAACCTCTGGCTGCTCGCACTGTCCTGCGGCGCCCTCGTGTGGCCGCTGGCGGGACGCGCAGCCCCGCGATGGAGCGACTGATGGCCGCTGTTTATTATTTTTTTAAATTTTATTAAAAATTTTTAATGTTTATTTACTTTTGAGACAGGGAGAGAGACAGAGTGTGAGCGGGAAAGGGGCAGAGGGAGAGGGAGACAGAACCCGAAGCAGGCTCCAGGCTCTGGGCTGTCAGCACAGAGCCCCACGTGGGGCTTGAAACCAAAAAACGGTGAGATCATGACCTGAGCTCAACCGACTGAGCCACCCAGGCGCCCCTGATGGCAGCTGTTTAATTGTTTCTGTTTAATCAGATGGTTTTGTTAAAACCCAGAAAACTCCATCTATCATCGACATCATTAACATTGGTCTTTATGAATAGCTAAATTTCATTAAATCGTTAATAATTAATTCATTAAGAATTAAGTTTCATTAATAAGACAGAGAGCAAATGCACTGTGTGCACTTGCTCTGTGACAGATGGGCACCTGGGCACTCCAGCTCCTGCCTGTTCACCTTCATAACCACGGGAGGCTGCAGGCTCACAGACACCAGCTAAAATGCCAAGGGCAAGCCTGGGGTTCAAATCTAGGACAGCCCACACCTGAGTCTGTACCTGAGGTCACACCTGATCCCACGCCTGAACTCTTTCCTGACTCACACCTGACCCATACCTGACCCACACCTGAGCATACACCTGCATCCACACCTGAGCTCACACCTGACTCATACCTGACCCACACCTGAGCACACACCTGAATCCGCACCGGAGCCCGCACCTGGCCCACACCTCAGCTCACACCTGACCCACACCTGAATCTGCACCTGAGCCTGCACCTGAGTTCACAACTGACCCACACCTGAGCCCACACCTGACCCACACCTGCGCTCACACTTGGCCCACACCTGAGCTCACACCTGGCCCACACCTGAATCTGCACCTGAATTTACACCTGAGCCTGTTCCTGACCCTGTACTTGAGCCTGTACCCAATTCCACACCTGTCTCTTGTACAGCATGAATGACCAGGTTGGGCCTAATTCAGTATGATGTAGCAATAACTATTTTTGGGAACTTAATCGATAATAGAGACACTGAATACTGCGAAGAGAACCTAAGGCAGACACATTTTAAATGCAAGTACTGTTAGTTCAGCCAGAGCTAGGGGGTCTCAAAGTGTGAACAATTTCCTGATTTTTGGTAAATGTTCTAGTGAAGGAATGAGTCACACTTCCTGCGGGCCCGGGAGTAAGCACACAGTGACGTGAGCTTCTCAAGCTGGGGGAGGAGCAAGGGTGTGTGCGGAGGGGATGTGAAGGAGACGCAGGGGGGGTGCACCAGGGAGACCCGGTTAGTCCCTGCCCTGCGCTGGGACACAGGTGGTGGGTGGGCACTTTCCCAGACCCTCTTCCTGCGAGCAGCCCCAGCACCATCAGCCCCAGCACAGCCTGCCCCGTGGCTTCCTGCAGGTACCAGGTGCCCTTGCCTGAGGCCCTGAGTAGGCGGCTGGGACCCCACTCTGCAAACTGTATCAGCTGGAATCCTGATTTTGAACTGTCCCATCTGAAATGCTTTTCTACCTTCTTTCCTCTGAGTTGAAAAGTCAGAGGATACTTTGTTGATTTTGATTAGAAAACACATCTATCCTATAGTCCAGCTGTTCTCATCAGCAAGTGTAGTCTGGCATTGCTTTCCAGAAATTTTTGGAAGTTTCTACCATTGTAATCACAAAGGGGTTAGGTGAATGTGGGGTGAGAGCCAGGGCGTAGGTCTCCCTCCCAGCACCAGGGATGGGGTGGGCCTGCTGCCCACAAGAACCACACACTTAGCGCTTGTGTTCTGAACCGCCCCCTCCATTTTCACTAGGAAAGTGATAGGAAACATTCTAAGTCCCAGAAACGCAGGGTTCAGGAACTGCTCCTTCTCCCTGATTCCCGGTGGCACCGGGGCGTCCGGTCTATGCCTCCCTGCAGTATTATGATCCTTAGATCACGACGAAACGGGATTTTCTGTGGTCTTTCAAAGTCAATATAATTCTATACGGAACATGATTTATGTGAGGAACAGCTGATCCCTCCGCTGCGGGCTCCGCTATCCCCCCTCCCTCCCTGGGAGGCTCCACTATACCCCCCACCCCTGGAGGGCTCTGCTGTCCGCCCCCTATCCCGCGGGGTCCACTATCCACCCTCCCCCCACACCCCCGCGGGCTCCGCTGCCTCTGTTATTCTGCCTGCGTGGGATTCTGACTTCTCCTTGACGACCAAGGACCCTCCCCCCCCCCCCCCCCCC